CACAATGGAAGAGCCAGCCCTGAGATTTCAAGTAAGGACAGAAGACAAATGTCTGAAGTGGGTACAACTTCATAAAAACCTGACTCTGAATGAGAATCTATACTTAAAAATCTGAATCTCTCATTTCTTCATTGTATAGTGCATTTTTACATGAAAAAAAGGCAGCCCTGTTTCTGTAGATGCAAATAAAAACCTTCCTGGGTTGGCTTTGATCTTGGTCTTTAAGGCCAATATTAATCATAATATAGTGAGCTGAGTTAACTGTCCCTGTTAATTCTACATATACACTTCTGGTTCCTGTGATGCCTCCAATGCCTTTCACCGTTAGAGTTCCATTCATTTGAAGTGGATGGTGAATGAGTCTTATTACGTGCCAATTCCAGCCAACTGATAGTAACTGCCAGAACCACTGTGTTGAAAATGCAAGTGATGGGGCCTCCCTGGTGGTGTAAGGGTTAAGACGCAAACTATGAAGCTATCCGCAGCCACTGCAGCATGAGTTCGATTCCCGGCCAGCCAGGGAGCTCCCCACATGGCGCAGCAGACCTCTCCTGATTCGCTCGCTACTCCCCTCAGCAGTGTATTTCAGTGAATCTGCCTGTTCTGTTCTCCACTCTGTCTCTGGTGAATTCTCCCTCTCTCTCTCTCTCTTTCTCTCTCTCTCTCTCACACACACACACACACACACACACACACACACACACCTGCACCTACCCCAGCTCTTGTATGCATAAATAAATAAATCTTTAAAAAAATAAAAGAAGAAAAAAGGAAAATGCAACTGATGAGCAAGATGAGCAAGCAAGTGAAGAATGGTAACGTCCTGTGGGTGAAGCCAATGCATGATGCAATACCCACAGCTCTGGAAAGAGTAATTTAGTAAGCTTTTAAACGTGATCCGCACCTCAGTATGAATCCACATCACATCATACCAAAGCAGCTTTTGATACATTTAGCATGTAAATTTTTAGAAGCAAAACTCAGGACCTATTGGTTCAAACACAGAATTATTTCCCTGATTTTGTGAATTATGTGCGAGTTCATACAAGGATATAAAAGTAACATTTAATTAAGCATGCAATGAATCACAACAAATTAAAATTTTTGAAAAGTATTCCATGAATGGCATATAGTCCAAAAGGATAAGCCCAAAGCCCAGGAGGGTCAGGTCTGGACAATTCTGGGCTTTCAGGCCCTCCTATTAGAGGGCCCTGATGTCTGAAGTTGTGGTGGTTTTCTAAGCAGATAGAAAGAATAATAAAAAGAGAAGTGAAAAGTCTACCGAAGGACTTCACTTTTGCTTTTTAAAGAAACGTTTCCTGTAGGGCTCTGCCCTGGAGTCTTCCTGGAGAGAACTTCAAAATTCCAAACAACATGTCAGGGGAATTAAGTACCTACAATATCACCCCGGCTTCCTTCACCATGAGTTACCAACCTCACAGTGAGGTCTACTCTCTTTCAGCAAGGTTCCCCCATGTTCACACATGTTAAGACTCTTTATACTCAAGTCAACCTTTAAAATTTCACTGTTTACAAAGTCTGACTTGAGATAAAAGAAAATACTATACTATATCTACAATAAAAATTCATTGAGTGCTTTTTATTTAGCACTGAGTGTAAGGAAAGATATTTAGGTAAATCTAAACTCTCCAGCAAGAAAGGAAAGGCTCTCTACAACATGATCACACATTCTCAACCAGTCACCCCAGTTGTCTCCATGCCTTCGAGACTTTTGTACTGGAATGCTTATTCTCTCTTTTATAATAATTATGCTATTTATAGTTACTTATATTCCTCTTTGTTTCTCTATTAGGAGGACCTCAAAACCAGAGTGACAAATATTTAATGAACACCTAGTCAGTGAGTCACAGTATGAACACTAGAGAGACAACAGAAAATGAAGCAGCAAGGCCCTGGACTGCATGGATTCCCATTCTGTGGCTCTTTCTAACCTTGGAGCCTAGCACATGCAGGCATGCAATCAAGCACCAAAGAATTAGCGAAACTTCTGCCAGGAATTTGAAATTTAGTTGTGATGACTGATACAGCAACACATAAGCAAAAAGGCAATATAAAAAACTAAAAGATATACAAAATCTTAGGCATTTGCATATGGCCATATTCTAAGTCATTTCTGCCACTGCTGACAGCAGTTATTGTAAATAACTGTTCAAACAGCAGGAAACCAAAAGAAAGTAGAACCCAAAAGAACCTAGAACCCAGAAGAAAGTAGATTACATAAAAAGTGATCAAGGTGAAAAAACAATAATTCCAATCACAGAAATTATTACCTAAAACCTAAGTGCTCTATGAATATAAGATATGACTACTGACTTATTACAATGCTTCTTGAGTTAACTTTGTCTAGAAGATGAATACGGAGGTCAAAGAGAGATATGTAGTCAGGGAAACACTGTGTACCAGTAGATATTTTGAAATATGGTGAAAATGACAATAAAACAGTGTTTCCCAAAATATTTTCTGGAAAACACATCCAGCAGAAGCTCTCCTGGGAGTTCTGCAAAGCATACTCTCACATTATTGTCTCTGAAGAGTTCTGCAGGACAAGCACATACTTACCTTTATTAATCATTATTTCCAATACTCATTTAAACCATTTAATTCTTTTCTCAAGGAATAGCTATTATTAGTTTAGGAAATTTTATTTTAAAGACCAATTTACAACACTGTTCACTTATATTTACCCATTAGTGGTAATCTGGAAAACCAAGAACTTCTCAGACTATAGTGCCCAGCGATAAAAATATTTTTTCTTATGAAAATATCTGTAAATAAAAATTGTTACACAATCTAGGTAATCTGCATTGTCTAGATGAAATTATCATCTAACCACTAGATGGCACTATGATTTCATTTATGCTATAACCATAAACACACCATATTAATAGTTCAAAAGTCTTTGAACTGGGCCTCCCTAGTGGTCTAGGGGTTAAGTCTCAGGCTGTCATCACTGTGGCCTGGATTTGATCCCTGGCCAGGGAGCTGACCCACAAGGCACAGCAGACCTCTCTTGTCTGGCCACTGGTAATAACAATTTCAGTGGATCTGCTTGTTCTGCTCTCCACTTTGTCTCTGGTGAATCCTCTCACCCCTCTGTCCCCCCGGTCTGGCCTACACCCCAGTTCTTCTATGCATAAATAAATAAATCTTTTTTAAAAAAAAAAAAAAAGTGTTTGAACTAAACCAAAACAAACCCAAAAAATCTGACTGCAGAACTGAAGTAACCAGAGAGGGAAGGTGGAGAATGGGACACAAAAGGGGGAGAGGCCCAATGGACTTTGATAGACTATAGATTAGGGTTATTGGTGCTTTGGGGTGATGGAAACATACATTTGAAGAGGTGTGAACCTACACCCCTAAAACATACACAATATTATCAACCAGTGTTACCTCAATAAAATAAGTAGTTTTAAAAAGGTATTTGAGTTTTCTAAGGGAGTATATGTGCATTTATTCATTCATCTATTCAGTCCTTCAAACACTGATTAGGTACTTCTAAATCCTAAGAACTCTGATGGATGCTGAGGATAAACTTAAGAGAAGAAACTGGTGGTTCTCAGAGGTGAGGAGTGGGGTGGTGGGGCATGATGGGTGAAGCAGGTACAAATGTCCAGTTATAAAATAAGTCATGGGGATGCATAGCATGGTGACTGTAGTTAGAAATATTGCATTGGATATTCAAAAGTCGCTAAGACTACAAAGCTTAAAAGTTCTCATCACAAGAAAAAAACTTTGTTATATGGTGATGGAGGTTAACTAGACTGATGGAGATCCCTTCACAATGTACAAATATAGAAGCATTGTGTTGTACTCCTGAAACTAACGTAATGCTAGTCAATAATTACACTTCAAAAATTTTTAACTGTCATTCTTGTATTCCTAGGAAACTCTAAGTTACCCCAAAAACTTAACAATCGCCTTTTATAAAAAAAAAAAAAGCATGACAATATGCACACTGATTGCATTACCATTCTATTTTTATACATGAAAATAGAAGTGAAAAAATGCAGTGGATGGAAAGCACTGAGATAAGCAAGCATCTAAGAAATTATCAGTCTGAACTAATTGGCTCAAAGGTCACAGATCACAGGATTCAGAAACCAATTTTGACTCAGGGAGGACATGCCAGTCCTCAGTCCTTGGGATATTCTGGAGTGGACTTAGTTCAGCACCGGGAAATGAAGGCCTGACGAAGGTGAGACAGTGAAAAGGTGGTGAGAACAACGGGTTGTAGGGGGATGGAGGAACTCTTTGCTGTTAGTGTCCTAGGAGTGCGCTAGAAACAGAGGGGAGAGTGGTCAGAAGAGGCTGAATCAGAGAATGATGGTCCAGGGGTGAGGCCACTGGTAATAACAAGCAGTAACAGAAGCACTTAGCAAAGGTTAACTATCTTTTTTTTTTAATTTTAAAAAGTCTTTCCCCTGAAAATTGCCGTTTTCCTCAACACTGAGCATCTTTTTCGCCCCCAGATGAAGTGGGTAAAGCCAAAAACGCTGCCAAACATCCAGATCAGGGTGGCATGAGGGGCAAATTCCTTCCGTAAAAGAACAGCACCCAGGTCATCTCAGCAGGTTGCCGCAGCAACGTTTAACAGAGCACAGTCCCACTGTACAAGAACAGCCTCTGGGAAATATTCCAACACAAAACACAAGGCCCCTCCGCCCTTCACGGCCTCCTACCCCTCTGAAGGAGTCGGGGCTGAAGTGGACGGGCAAGTGCAGCCCCGCCAGGATGACCGTAAACCCGACTTCCGGCAGGGGGCGCCCGTGGCCCCGCCCGGGAGGCTCAGCCGGCCGCGCGCCGGCGTTTTCAAAATGGAAACAAATCCGGCCCCGCCCCCCGCGCAGAGGCCGCCGGGAAGAGGGCCCCGCCCCCCGGGGCGCCGCCGCCGGCACGTGAAGCCCCCCCACCCAGGTGGAGGTAGCTGCTCCTGCCACTTTCCCTCTGGCTTCCTCCTCCTCCAGCCGACTCAGCGGAAGCCGTGTGGCGAGGGGCGCACCCGCCCTTCCCGCGCGGCGATCCTTCACCTGTGCACGCCCCGCTGGCCCCGTTCCCGGAAGTGACGCGCCGCCCCGCCCTGCCCGCGTCCCGTCGGGCCTCGCGGCGGCGGCGCGAAGATGGCGGCGGCGGGAGCCATAGAACGGAGCTTCGTGGAGCTCAGCGGAGCTGAGCGCGAAAGGCCGAGGCACTTTCGGGAATTTACAGTTTGCGGCGTTGGTACGGAAGCAGCCAAGGAGGGTGCGATCAGACCTTTTTTCTCGGGTTCCTCCCTTGGGTCTCTAAATCTCTGACGCCCAGTTCATGTTCCTAAACCCACATGCCTGTACCCCCGAATTAGAGCTTCCTTAGTGCCTGACTTCTGCCTCTGTTCTTCCCCTTCTCCTGTATGGATTGTTAGTGCGTCCCCCTCTGCTTTCTTAGCATCCTCAGTCCCTGTCATCCCCGGAGTATCTTGTGTGCAGGCTGACCACTCTCCTTTGCAGGGACTTCAAGTGCCTTGGCCGTGAAATACAGTGAGAGCGCGGGAGGCTTCTACTATGTGGAAAGTGGCAAGTTGTTCTCCATCACCAGAAACAGGTTCATTCATTGGTAAGTGTTGTGTTTGCCAAATCCCCCTGGAAAGCAGGGTTTGGCGTCTGAATTTTCGTGAAGCCCCCAAAGTGTCGTTCTCCTCAGTGGTAATCTACAGAAAAAAAGAGGAAGACTGTTTTTTATTCATACCTGAATTTAGAAACAATAGAGGGGACAGAATTTTAGGAGAGATACCCTCCCTGGGAGCACTAAAAGCAGAGGAAATGTAGCTTAGGAAGTAAAGCCCCGAAAGACCAGTTTTAGACATGAACCCATTTTGTTTTTTTAGTGCTTTACAGCTTCCTTCATTCTAAATGTTTGCGTTTCTACATATCAGGCACAGTAGTTCAGTGCTAGGGGTCAGAGAGATGGAGTGAGGATGCAGAAAATTGTGCTAATAACCTACCATGAGTTATGAGAAGCATGGTTGCTCTGGAGAATCATCAGACATCAAATGTTGCTTACAGCTTTGGGCGTGAATAAGACATGCCTTGGGAGACTGAGCAGAGATCACCCAGCATCAAGTTTGGAGGAAATTTAACATGTTGGGATCAGGTCGAGGAGAAGAAAGAGTGCCTGGCAATGTGGGAGTAAAACCAAGAGCAGGCAGTATCATAGAAGTCAAGAGAAGAGACTTTCAAGAAGGAAGGGCATGATAATGTATGTAGAATGCTAAGAAGTCAAGAGAGTTTATTGGAATTGGTATGGTGACCTTTGTAAGAAGAGGAGAGATTGAAGAATATGAAGGCGAGGATACTGAGGAAACTTGGCCATGGAGGGGTATGGACAGAATGTGATAGTTGAATGGAGGCTGGAATAGGGTAATGGAAAGGGAGAGGCCAGGGACCCGTAAATTTCAATGTGAGTGGAAGATTCAGGAAGATGGAGAGATGAATACAGGAGGGATATACTTTAGAAAACCCAAAGATTGACTTTAATTGCTGGAAGGAGACAGTCTTGTAAAATCATGGATGAGGTGATACGAAGTTAGGGCATTCCCAGCATGGTAGTTTTTATGGCACTAAAGCTACCACATGACAGAGTTGAACTTGAAAGCTGGCCCTGTCTCATAGCTGGAAGAAGTGATGGAAGGGGTTGTACCCCCATTAAATAAGAGTATTTTGATTTAATGCTGTAGTAATATGTGAGGAGACAACATTCTAATATAAGAAATGGGGAGTGAAGGATTGCGCTAGTTTTCATTATAGTAGAGTTTAATGTTATTGAATATTCTAAATAAACAGACAGTTAAGTTTGAAAATGCCTCCAGAGAATCATAACAAGATTTGAGTTTTCTATTATACTGTTTTGTAAGTCTATGTAATGTGGTTTGAAATATTAAAATTGATTTGAATTTATCCAAAATTTTTTAACTGGGGGCCTCTCCGGTGGCCAGGGGTTAAGTCTTACTGTGGCCTGAGTTCGATCCCCAACCAGGGAGCTAACCCACATACGTGCAGCAGACCTTTACTGTTTTACTCTCTATTCCCTTTAGCAGTATATTTCAGTAAATCCACCTGTTCTGCTCCCCATTTAGTTTGTCTCTGGTGAATCTTGTCAACACCCCCCCCCCACACACACACACACAAGTCTGACCTGCACCCCAGTCTACACAAAAATAAATAAAATCTTTACCAAGAAAAAATTTCTGATTTGGGAGAGTTCACTTGGAAACTATTCCCATATACTTTAAGAAAGAAAAGATAAACATTTTAACAAGTTCTCTTTTTTTTAATAGGAAGACTTCTGGAGACACATTGGAGCTGGTGGAGGAGTCACTGGACATAAATTTGCTGAATAATGCAATTCGCCTCAGATTCCAAAATTGCAGCCTCCTACCTGGAGGGGTTCATGTCTCTGAGACTCAGAATCATGTGATAATTTTGATAGTAACCAATCAAACAGTGCACAGGTTACTTTTACCACACCCTTCCCGGATGTATAGAAGTGTAAGTTGGTTGAATGTAATATCCTTTATTTCCCAAATTACTCTTGCTCCCACAAATTTAGTGAAATTAAAAGAAATTTATATTCCTTATTGGCCTTCATCAACCATACTTTGAGTAACTAACTGTAATGATCAGACATATTTTAGGTTGGAAAAATAGTTTTCATTAAAAAGAATAGCTTTCTCAACCTAACTGCCCCAAAACAGATGACTGGATCAAAAAGATATGGTATATATACACAATAGAATGCTATTCAGCAATGAAGAAAGATACGCCATTCGCTGCAACATGAATGGAGCTGGAAGGGATTATGCTCAATGAAATAAGTCAGAAGGAAAGAGAAAAATATCGAATGGCTTCACTTATAGGAGGAACATAGGGAAACCATACAAGGGATGGGGGGGGGGAGAAAAAACTAGCAGGCAAACTAAATGGAGACATTCAGTAGTGGGGGGAGAGGGAGAAGGATCAAAACGGGAGGGAAGAACATAAAAGACTATGGTGACGGTTTACCAGTGTCTTGGTGGTGGGAATTTTATGGGGAGTTGAAGGAAATTTGGAGGAGAGGATAATGAACAATGATGTAAAAAAAAATGTATATATATAAAGCTTTCTTTTTAAGTTTCGTGGTTTTTTATTTTAAAAACTTTTGTAGCAAGAGAGAAATTTTATTTTGATTTAACAGATTTTAATTACTTCACAGGAGTTGGTAATTGAAAGTCAGATGCAATCGATATTCACTGACATTGGAAAAGTTGACTTCAGGGACCCTTGCAACTATCAATTGATTCCAACAGTACCTGGACTCGCCCCTAATTCCACCACCTCAGCAGCCTGGCTTAGCAATGAAGGGGAGGCTCTGTTTGCCCTCCCAGCTGCATCTGGGGGAATCTTTGTCCTTAAACTACCTCCTTATGACATACCAGGTAAGAATGGGAACTGAGCATGGATTGAACTTTACACAAGGAATGTTGGCATTCATACTTAGAAGTCTGAACCATCATCCAGAGCTTATGCCCATGAATCCTTCCTCAGCTACCACTGTGTCTCCTTCCCTCAACTCCTGCAGGTATTTACTCGGAGACCCCTCAGTAAGGCCTTCCCTGCATCCTTTTCAAATTTACACAGCATTCGTTATACTTGGCATCTTATTTTCCTCCACTTATTACCATGCTACTTAATGTGTTACCTGTCTCTGCTTCTCCCCTCCCAGTGTGAGTTACATGAGGACAAGAACTTTTTCCGTGGTTTTATTCTTTAAAGATTTGATTTCATTTTTTTTTGACTATTACAAAAGTTTATTTAACAAAAAGTTCAATAACAAAATGTACACGACCCAATTTTTATATCATAGTAAAAAGATGCTGTGGAAGTGGACATGGCGAAGCAACTTATTTCTCTGGCGAACACAGCCACTGCTTATACTTGTTCCAAGGCTTCTAACATGATGATACTATTTTCCTCATATTACCACCATTCCAATATTGTTCTGTTGCCCACTAGTTGCCATCTCCACACACTCATCTATCACAAGATTCATAAAGGGATCAAATCCCCGTAGTATTCCTTGGACATGTCTGCCACCATGTAATTTCTTTTTTTTTTTTTTTTTTAATGGCAACTTTCTTCTTCGGGTAGTTTGCTGGAGTCGTCCGTTTATCTTCTGTGTCCTAGTTCTCACTGGGACCTGTCGCTTTTCCTCTCTATTAACTTTTTTTTTTTTTTAAGATTTATTTGTTTGTTTGTTTGTTTATTTATACAAGCTCTGGGTACAGTCAGAAGCGTGGGAGGGTGAGAGAATTCACCAGAGCCAGAGAAGGGCACAGAGCAGGCAGAAGGACCGAAGTACACTGCTTAGGGGAGCAGCGGGTGGCAGGAGAGGTCTGCGCGCCATTTGGGACCCTCCTCCGGTGGCCGGGGAGCAGCTGGGGATCGAACCTGTGTTGCACAGGCTGCAGGCAGCTTCGCAACCCAGTGCTCAACCGTTGCGCCACCGGGGAGGCCCGTGCCACCATTTAATTTCAATGATAACTTTTCGTCCATAAGTTTTTTCTACTCGGGAGGGTAAGCTTTGCTCATGGTGTCTACTCCCCAGGCTCAGAGCTGCCACCACACGAATTCCGCGGCCTCCGTACCACTCCCGCAAAGATTTGATTTATTTATACATATAAGAGCTGGGGTATAGGCCAGAGATGTGGAGTGGTGATAGGATTCACCAGAGACAGTAGGGAGCAGAACAGGCAGATTGGCTGAATATGCTGCTGGGGGGAGCAGCTGTCAAAACAAGGAGATGTCTGCTGTGCTGGGGATCGAACCCAGCTTCAGTGGCTGCAGATTGCTTCATGATGCTGAGACTGAACCCCTTGCGCCACCAGTGAGGCCAAGAAGTTTTTCATTTATCCTGAAACTACTTCCTTGTTTTGTTTACTGCTGTGTTTTTAGCACCAGAACTGCCTGGCGCATAAAAGATACCCAGTAATTCCTTGGAAAGAATGAAGTAATTCTTCTGAGCAGCAGTGTGGATTCTGTTTATAAATGGCAAAAATTTGCCCTAGGAATATAAAGGTGATATTTTATTGATCCAGTAGTGATTCAGAATATTTAAGTGTGATTGTGTGAGATGATACATACTAAAACTTTCTTGGTATAAAAGTGTTTGTCATTTGATAATTATTACTGTTTAAATCATTCTTGCCTTTGGGTTTCACTAATATCAAGAGTTGCCTTGGATATGATTGGTCTGTTTTCAATCTTGTAGGGATGGTGTCAGTTGTGGAACTGAAACAGAGTTCAGTAATGCAACGATTGCTAATAGGCTGGATGCCAACAGCTATCAGGTGAGTGGTGTCTGGCAAAAATAAATCAGAGCCCCTATGAATTTAACCTTTCTGCACTGGTCAGCATCCATTAGGGCTTCCCATCTAACTCCAAGGCAGATGAGCATCATCCTAGAAAGAAGAGTAAACAACATCACATTCTATCCTAGGAGAGCAACACTCCAGAGCTATCTTCACTGTGGTTGGAGAGCTTGATAGCAGAAACTGACTTACTGTGCATATCCTCACAGTGCATTCCAGTGCTCTGCCCTGAGTTCCAAAGCTATGTTGAATGTTTTACAGGTAGAGAGTTTCTGAGGGTTAGAGCAAAATGACATGGAAGAAAACAGTATTCCATTCCTACAGAACTTTTAAAATTTATCATTATTTGTTACAAATCAAATGGAAAATGCAGTTAAAACAGCATATAAACTCTTGCTCCTTTTGTTGATTAGAAGTGTGTATTTGTTATTTATTGCTGTAATTGGAAGCGCAAATGATTTGCAAATCAAAACTAAAACGTGGCCTGATGTTTTCAGAGGTGATCAGGGGCCTTCAGACCGTCCCCTCAGCCTTGCTGTGCATTGCGTCGAGCATGATGCCTTTATCTTTGCTCTGTGCCAGGATCATAAATTACGAATGTGGTCTTACAAGGTAAATGCTACATGTGTAGTTACTTTAAGTTAAAGATTGTGAATTGTAACAGAAGTGAAATAAGTCTTTGCTTCTCTTCAAAATTACCAGATATCTTAGATTGCAAATTAAGGGGCGTATTTCCAGATTCAGACAGTTTATTTAATTTTACTTCCTCCCCTAACATTGCCTTTATTTTGAAAATTATAAATCCTACAGAAAAGTTGAACTATAGTACAGAGTATACCTTTCACTTTAGAGGAACAGATATGTTTTTAAAATGCAAGTTGGTAAAATGGTTATCAAGATTCACAAAAGAGCAGATGATGATATTTATCAGACTGAAGAGCTATTTTCATCTTAGCTCTTTAAAACAAAAAAAAACCTGTTGAGTTCTTTATCCATTAAACTAGATGGAGTACTACATAGGGTAGATATGCATCCTTTGAAAAAGGATTTGTTTTACTAACCTGAATGTTCTTTCCTATCACTAATTATTATTTTGGGTAGGACCAAATGTGCTTGATGGTAGCTGACATGCTGGAGTATGTCCCTGTGAATAAAGATCTTCGGCTCACCGCTGGGACTGGACACAAATTACGACTGGCTTATTCCCCTTCCATGGGGCTCTACTTAGGGATTTACATGCATGCACCAAAACGAGGACAGGTATGAAATGAGACACACATGTCAAATTGTCCCGTATTTTCCATTGTGCAGAAGCAACTGTCTATTTAAGCTCTCACACCAACCTAAACATTTCACATGTGGTTTCCACAGAGATAGTGAGCTTTGTGTTAATGTGTGAAGTAAAAGCTCTGAAGCAGCAGCCAGGGTGGCAGGAAGTAGAGATTTTAAGGAACATAAAAGGAAAACCAAAGCTAAACAAGAAAAGGCCAATTTGGAAGTCCGGGTGAAAAATGGGGTTATAAAAGGGCTATAAGTGTTAAGTAGTTGTGAAATGTCAGAGCCCAAGGAGAGTAAAGAGTTGACATTGAGAAATAATTTTGTTCATCCAAACACTAGCTATTATATGGAGATGAGGTACTTAGGAGGTCATGCAATGTTATTGTGGTAATAAATGCAATTTGTTGGGTATTGTGTGTGGCACTTTGCCAAGTGCTTTATGTACATTAATAGTGTTGGACTGATTACTGAGTTCACACACTTTACACACATTATTCTAGTAACATGCTAGTTAAGGATAATCTGTCATTCTCAGTGCTGTAGCTCTGGTTCCTGGTGCTGGGCCACCGCCCCACCTGGGTGCTCCTCACTCCTCTTGGGCTTAAGATACTCCACTCCAGGCTGCCCCTTCTGACCCTGTGTAGGTCCTTGCACTCTGTTGCAGAAGAATTCTTAGGACTTTTCTTATACAAGATGATGTCATCTGCAAATAAAGACTGTCTATACTTCCTTTCCAATCTCGATGCCTTTTCTCCCACCTTAATTGCTCTATTGAATCGAAGTGGCAAGAGCTGACAACCCTGTCTTATTCCTGATTTAAGGGAGAAAGTTGTTAGTGTTTTTCCATTGAGTGTGATGATAGTTGTGAATTTTTCATAAATGCCCTTTAAGGAAGTTCCTCTCCTAATTAAAATAGCCATCAAATATTTCTGAGTTTGAAAATTTTCATTTTGGCAGTGGAGTTAAAAACTAAACATGTATTACTTGATAGGGTTTTATTTTTATTTTTAAAAGATTTATGTATTTATGCATACAAGAGCTGGGGCACAGGCCAGAGTTGTGGGGGGGTGAGAGGATTCACCAGAGACAGAGTGGGGAACAAAACAGGCAGATTGACTGAAATACACTGCTGAGGGGTGCAGCGGACAAGGCAGGAGAGGTCTACCACGCCACATGGTTATCTCCCTGGCTGGGGATCGAACTCGTGCCGCAGTGGCTGTGGATAGCTTCATAGGTTGTGTCTTAATCCCTTGCACCACCAGGGAGGCCCTATAGAATTTTATTTTCAATAAAGATTGACTAGTGTTGATTTGTATTGTGTGTGTGTTTTAAATTATCTGTGGCACTTTGGTAAAAACAGAAATTTAAAAATAGATTTCAAAATAAATAAATAAATAAAAATAGATTTCTGACCACATTGAAATACTACCTCATACCCATTAGGATGGCTACTACGAAAAACCAAACAAACAAAAAAAATAGAAAATACCAAATGTTAGCAAGGAAGTGAGAAATGGGAACCCTTGTGCACTATTATTAGCATGTAAAATGCTACAGCTTGTATGGAAAATGGTAAGTGATTTCTCAAAAAATTACACATCAAGTTACTGTATGATAGCAATTCCATTTCTGGGCATATAACCAAAAAAATTCAAAGCAGGGTCTTGAAGAGATATTTGTACACCCTTGTTCACATTAGCCAAACATTAGCATTGTTCACAATAGCCAAAAGGTTGAGCAACAGATGAATAAAAGTTTCACGCACAGGGAAAAGGGTAAACAAAATGTACCACATTTGTACGGTGGAATGTTACTCAGTCTTATGAAGGAAGGAACTTCCACATGCTACAACATTGATATACCTTGAGCACATGCTGAGTGAAATAAGCAGTCAAAAAAGATAGGTACCATTATGATTCTACTTAAATGAAGTGCCTAACGTAGAAATGAGGGTACCCTGGGTCTGAGGAGAGGAAAATGAGTTGTTTCATGGGTAGAGTTTCAAATTCATAAGATGGAAAAAGTTTGGGAGATGAGTTGGGAGAGCAGTGTGAAAATACTTCTTATTACTGAACTATACACTTAAAAACAGTTTAGGTGGTAAATGTATCATTTATATTTTACTGCACTTTTTTTAAAAATTGGTTTTTGAGTTCATGTTCACGTACAAAATGACCAACTTGTGTCTTAACAGTTCTGCGTTTTCCAGTTGGTGAGCACTGAAAATAACCGCTATAGTCTAGATCACATTTCTTCACTATTCATGTCTCAGGTAGGTTGGATCATCCTTTGCTTATCATGTACAGGAAAAAAAGTATTAGATAATAGGACTATGTTGTAGTGGAATTGATGTCTTCCGATGGGATATTTGATGATGTATACAAACAAAACTTCATTTGGGTTTTACCAAGTTCATGTTGTACTGTCTTGTTTTTAATGCACTTATTAGCTTCTACCAGTACAGATTTAAGTAGCTATCAACTATTCTTATTTTTTGCACATTTCCTCTTAGGAGACACTGGTTGACTTTGCCTTAACCTCTACGGATATCTGGGCCCTGTGGCATGATGCTGAAAACCAGACAGTTGTGAAATACATCAACTTCGAACAGTATGGGTCTCTTAGTTCCGTCATCCTTACCCTAAGCACTTTCATACTGGCAAGAAAAGACACAAAAGCTTTTTGATGTAGAACCAAAGCCAAGTGTTTGCAGTTAAAGGATTTAGCCCTGGGTGTGCCCATTGTTCACAGTTTTCTGAAATACCTCCTTTAGCATTTTGTGGTTTGGTTTTTTTTTTTTAAACCTTTTGGTTTTAATATTGACTAGTGGTTAGTTTTAGGATAAAAGGAGGATTCTTAGGGTTGGAAGGAGATAAGAAAAATACATACTTAGAGGAGACAGCACATATCCAGAATACCTTTATTCTGGGAGTTCTCTTTGCTCTTAAGCAAAAACTGTTCCTACTACCCACAACTTGCAAAACACACTGTACCCCCTTTGGGTTCTCAATTTCCTATTGGAAGAGGAGAAATGGATTGGACAAATACAATTTCTCAAACTTTTAATTTTAAACATGAAACACTTTTTCAGAAGATAACAATACGTAAATAAAAGTAACGAGTATAAAAGTAATGATTATAAAAATCAACTAAACATTGATAATCTCTAATATTGCATATATTTGGTATCTAATATTTTTAATGTATGTTTAAAATTTTTTAAGAATTAGGAATATATTTCAAAAAAACAAGTGTTGAATCAAACACTTGTATAACCCTTGAACACCTGTGGAGGATTCCCTGGAACACAAGTTGATATCCCTAGAATGAAACTAAGCCCTAGTGGGCTTTCATAACCTGATTCTCTAGGATAGAGCTCTAGGAATGGTTGCCTTTAAACTGACTCACACCTCAGAAAGCATGTGAGTGCTCCATACGTGCATGGATGGTACTCAAGCAAAGTGGTGACAAGCAGATTCGGGTGTGGGATGAGAGTTTGAATCCTGGTCATACAGCTTTCTAGCTGTGTGATGCCCTAAGCCTTATTTCCCACATTTGTGAAATGGGGATAATACAGTTTTCAAATAATTACTGTCACACACAATAATATCTAGAATTGCACCTGGCATAATATCTAGCAACTGGTAAATGCAAACTAAAGGTCAGGTGTTACTTGTAGAATTCTCTTTAGTTTTAATTTCAGGAAGAAGCTATTAATTGACAGGAACACTTCCATAAAAGCAAACTTTGCTAAGAATAAATTTTTTTTTAAATGTTTTTAACAGATCAGGCAATCATTGCAGAAGTTCACTGATGGGGCCCTCCCTTCCCAGATACTGCCAGCAATATAAGCTTCATTTTTCACCCTTTTATATAGACTGATGGACTTTTTTCTCTTTAGTAATGTTGCAGGTCAATGGAATCCAGTTTTCATGCAGCCTCTGCCAGAAGAAGAGATTATTATTCGAGATGATCAAGACCCCAGAGTAAGCAACACTAAAGTCTCATGAAGGAAATGATTTACCCTGATCCATTAGCTAGAGAAGAACCAATTATTAGTCAGAACTGTTATAACTTAAGGTGACAGAAACTTACGTCAAACTCAAGCTTAAAAAGATTGGCATGTGTGACCAAGAAGTTCAGTTACCTGGTTTCAGCTGTGACTGGAACAGTGTCTTCTGGCCTTGATCCCTCCTTTGTCTCTTCTGTTCCCTCTTTGTTTGGTTTATTGTCACGCTGTATCCCTGAGCCTATGAGTTCTGTGGATTTAACCCACAGAAGTGCGAAAACACTTCTATACCAGGTCTTGGAGTTGATAATCACTGACCTGGCTTGAATCATGTTCTAATTCTTAGTCACTCCAATGAGGAGTAGAATATTCTGACTTAGAATGAGAAACACTTCCAGTCAGGGACTTGCCCTTGTGGAGGGTGTCAAGTCAGTTACATATAGGTATGGGAGGAATTATTCCCCAGAGAAAGATGAGGGATTTATTAATAAAAGAAACATTCTGAACAGGCACAAATGCTAGGTAGCCACTATTCTAACCATGTTAGTCTTTGCATATAAATTAGAAATAATATAAATTCTGATAGCAGTAAATGCTTTGAAGAAAGTTTCAAAAGATAATGCAGCCAGGAGCCAAGCAGGCCAGTTTGTTTTTCAGGGATACTGTCAGGATATTTGGAAGAAAAAGATTTTAATTGATGCCTTAATGTTACAGTGTTGCTAAAGATGATGGCCTCTGAGTCTGAAACCATGACTATAGATTTGGAAAACATTTTAAATATCTGCATTTGAATGTTGCTAAATTTTTAATACTAGATGTTTATCAACACCTGACTTAGTTAAAAGCTGAAATCATATGCTGATTATTAAAATCCTTGTTTTTTCTCCTTCACTTTGGTTCAGTAGAAGGAAGGAAACTTAGCAGGATGTCAGGTTTGCTACTTAACTAGCTTCATAGTTTCAATCATATGCCATGTGGAGCTTTTCATCTTATTCTTTACTTCCTTTCCCCACTTTGAGAGTTTGTCCACAGTTTTTTGTTTGGTTTTACATATGGTGCCTATCAAATGTGTACTTTGGTGGACGGTGGGAAAACCAGTTTAATTGTTCTCTTACGGATATATCGCCACTCAAGTAGAGTTCCCTCTAGATTGGCATTTGTCAGGCTGTGTTTAACAGTAGACCTAGTGAGGAGTTCCATGAGGAACACACCATTTTCAGTATTGTATATCTAGTTGTAACTGTTCTACTTGTTTCTGCTCAAATATAAGACAAATTTCTAACTTTATGTAGTGGAAACTCTTAAGTTTGGTGCTAACGGGTTTAATTCTTCCTCCAGGTTTTCCCTAATTTTAATCCTTTATAGAATAACTGACTTTTGTTTTAATGTTCTAACAGGAGATGTATTTGCAGAGTCTTTTTACACCAGGACGATTCATAAATGCAGCTTTATGTAAAGCTTTACAGGTTAGCAAGAAAATATTTAATGTTTAAGACTTAATTTATTGCTAATATTTATAATCACTTAATTTTTATTATTTTGTTTACACTAAACACTACCTGTTTTTATAACTACATATGCTTATATTTATAAATGCTTTTTTTTTAAGTGGGTTGTTTTGGTTGCTTTTTGTTTTTTGTGGGTTTTTTTTTTTTTTTTAAGTGTTCTTTCCATTTAATAAGACTCCCACTGGGGAGGTATGATTGAGGGCATTTTCTCTATGACTAGTACAGTGGCCTGTACCCCAGTTCTTCTATGTATAAATAAGTCAATCTTTAAAAAATATATATAAAAAAGAACTGGGTACAGGCCAGAGGTGTTGTGGGTGAGAGGATTTACCAGAGATAGAGTGGGGAGCAGAACAGGCAGATTGACTAAAGTACACTGCTGAGGGGCGGAGTGGGCCAGTCAGGAGAGGTCTGCTGCACCATGTGGATCTCTCCCTGGCTGGGGATTGAACTTGTGCTGCAGTGACTGCGGCTAGCTTCATAGATTTTGTCTTAAGCCCTTGCGCCACCAGGGAGGCCCCCATTTTGTCTGTTCTCCAGACTAAAGTCACCCTGCCCTTTAACTTTTTCAGGTGATAATATTTTCCACATCCTTGAACTTCTCTTTTAAGTGCAGTCTTGAATATCTGGCTATTGCATCTTTTCTGTTTTCTCTCTGATAAAACTTGAGGATGATGTGGTCACTCTTTCTTCAGCTGTTTTTTTCTTTCATCTCATCTGAACTTCTTCCTTGTTAAAATAGTCAAGCACAGGAGAACAATATTTCTCATGATATCTGTTGCACACCGACACAGTAAATCATCAGTGACGCATTTACCACATGCTTTCCTTGGGGAGCGTTGTTCCCGTAGTGACCCACCTGCTTCTCTACTCTGCTTACCCCGGGCCTGTCTCAGGACGGGGACGTTTGCCATCCTCTTACGTCTTCCTTCCTGTTTTGCGGTGCTTTTCTGTTTCCTTTTGCTTTTTTGTAATATACCCTGTTATAATTCTTTCAGATTCATGAATTTTTATAGTTTATTCTGTCCTCTAAAAACTTTCAAACTTGCTATGATTTCACATACAGAAATTATTTGCATGGTTTTAGGGGTAAATATGGATTCCAGGGCTGTCCTTTCTCTGTTATGTAGTTGTATATTGCTGCAGTGGAGCATTTTTCTTTCACTGTGTGGTGTTATATAAACTAAAATTTCTCTCTTAATTTTAGATTTTCTGTCGAGGAACTGAAAGGAATTTAGATCTTTCTTGGAGTGAACTAAAGAAAGAAGTCACTTTAGCTGTTGAAAGTGAGGTGAGGTGGTTGGGTAAAGAAACATGATAATTTCTTCAATCATGATTGAAGGTACTTAGGAATTACTCATATCGTTCACTGGACCTTAGAATAGAAAGTGTGCATGTTTAAACTTTTTAAATAGAGAACTAGATTTACACAGTCTTTGGCATGTAAAGCATAAGGAATATTCATTTAGCTGTAATTCAGTAGAATACCATACAGTTGTATTTTGGAAGAGAAAACCCTGAACAGTATCAAGAGTTTCTTGTGTTTTGTTTTCTCTACCAGCTCCAAGGAAGTGTGACAGAATATGAATTTTCCCAGGAGGAGTTTCGAAACTTGCAACAGGAATTCTGGTGCAAGTTTTATGCCTGTTGTCTTCAATATCAAGAAGCCCTCTCTCATCCCCTTGCCCTACATTTGAATCCACACACAAACATGGTGTGCCTGCTGAAAAAAGTAAGAGCTAAAGCAGAAAGAAGAGCTCTGTTAGCAGTTCCCTGGTCTTTTAGGGTGGTAGATCTCTTGTGTGTATTGTTAGCTTTTAGGGCTTTTATTTTCCCCCTTCTAAAACTATAGTTCCTTTTGTGCAGCCTTTTGTATGTTTTTGCATTTTATTTTTACTTTTTATATTGAACTGATTTCAGACTTGAAGTGAAAATTGCAAGAATAGCACAAAGAATTTTTTTTTCCTAAAGATTTATTTATTTATTTATTTATACAAGCATTGGGTACAGTCAGAAGCGCGGGAGGGTAAGAGAATTCACCAGAGCCAGAGCGGGAAGCAGAGTAGGCAGAAGGACCGAAGCACACCGCTAAGGGGAGCAGTGGGCGGCAGGAGAGGTCTGTGCACCATGTGGGACCCTCCTCCGGTGGCCAGGGAGCAGCTGGGGATCAAACTGGCGCTGCAGAGGCTGCGGGCAGCTTTGTAACCCAGCACTCAACCACTGCACCATCGGGGAGGCCCATCACAAAGAATTTTTGTATACTCTTTACCCAGATTCACTATTTGTTAACTTCCATTTGCTTTCCCTGTCTATAAATGTGGTTTTTTTCTTCCCAAACCACTTGAGAGTGTCAGATACTATGCTACATTTTAGCATGTATCTGAGAGAATAAGGGTATTCTTACATAAGCACAGCTCAACTTAAAGTTTGATATTAGTATAATATCCATTTTATATTCATTTTCATCACTCGTACCCATAGTTTCTCTTCCTGATCCAGGATCCAATCCAAAGTGTTGCATATATTTGTCAATTTTTCTAGCTTAATCTCAAACTGTTGTAAGTCTTTCTTTGTCTTTCAAAATACTGTCATTTTCTGAAAACTGCTGTTGTTTGGCAGTGCCCCTCAATTTGGATTTGTTTGGTGTTTCCTTATAAGATTCAGGTATCAATTATTTTATACCTTTAAACATTAACTGAGAAAATGTAATTGGAAGACTTGTATTTCCAGGGGTACCTGTCTTTCCTTGTGCCTTCCTCCTTAGTGGATCATTTGTATCTTCTGCCTGATGAGAACCTTTTGACAGAGGATGAAACGACAATATCTGATGGTAAGTAGTAACTGAGATTTCCTTGTGTAAGCTTCTTCCTTCATGGGTCTATGCTTTGTTTCAAATGGATGCAGAAACATTGTCACTGTGACCTTTCCTGGTCAACTTACCACATTGTAGATATTTTAAGAAAAACTAAAAAATCCTAAGCCTCTCTAAAACCTCAGGGTTTATTTTTTAACACTTTATTTTGTGTAATTTTTATCAGTAGCTCTTCATTGGCTTGAGACATGAATGTTAACTTTTTCTTACTCATAGATGTGGATGTTGCTCGGGATGTCATATGTCTTATAAAATGCCTTCGGCTGATTGGAGAGTCAGTAACTATGGATATGTCAGTAATGATGGAAATGAGTTGTTACAACCTACAGTCTCCAGAAAAGGCTGCAGAACAGATTCTGGAAGATTTGATCACTATTGATGTGTAAGGAGATTTTAGGGTAAAGTGCATTTCCTAATGGAAATTTAGCAATTTTTAGTGCAGAAGTTGAGTGCTTAATGTATATACAAGTGTGCACAAAATAGTATTGGCTTAAAGTTAAAGTGAGTTGCCATGATTATAAATAGGTGTTTCAGCTTTTAAGCGGAAAGTCTAACTTCAATTCAGGTCTGGGAACAGACTAATAATTTATAGTCTAGCTACTAGTTATCTGAGCTATAAATTCTAAAATGAAAAATACTTTTGTAACTTTCGTTTTGTCTGTCATCTCTGAAAAATTGAGGGAAAGTTTCCCATGTGGAGTGTGGAACACCTTCTGTGGTAGAGTGATTATCGCAACTCCTTTATTATGAGCCTGGTTTTCCTAGTCCATGGAGTATTCAGCTTATAGGACACATAGTCTGTTATGTATTCTCAGCAGTAATAGGAGTTTTCTAATTGTCCTCAGAGAAAATGTGATGGAGGATATTTGTAGTAAACTGCAAGAGATCAGGAACCCAATCCATGCCATTGGACTTCTTATCCGAGAAATGGATTATGAAACAGAAGTGGAAATGGAAAAGGGATTTGACCCAGGTAACTGATAATACAAAAAATGTGCCTCTTTGATTTAGAGAAGAGAATGTTATATTTAATTCCTTTTTTTCTATTACAGCTCAGCCTTTGAATATTCGAATGAATCTTTCCCAGCTCTATGGTAGTAGCACAGCAGGATATATTGTGTGCAGAAGTGTGTGTAAGATTGCCAGTACTCGCTTCCTCATCTGCCGAGACCTTTTGATCTTACAGCAGTTATTAATGAGGCTAGGAGATGCAGTAAGTACTATTCGTAAAACCTAAAAACTGGTTTAGATTTACAGGTATAGTAGCAAAATGTCAGTTGTACAAGCAGAGAGACTTTTGTCTTTGCATGTGTAGTGGTGGAAAAATTTCCCAGCTTGACTCTTCCAAAATTGAATATTGTTTGTACTGCTTTGGATGTAATAGCAGGTTGCCAGACAGTCAGGAGAGAGGAATAAGAAAAAGAATGTCTGTCTGCAGTATAGGATTTATCCTAATCACAGTTTCAAGTTTGCAGAATTTCTTTGGGGCATTCCCAGTTCCATTTTGTGCTTCCTTTTCTGTCCTGTTTTTCCTCTTAGGCCACCAATGCTTGTTGCCATCCTACAGTCACCCTTGTTTCCCACCCTACTCAATACTTCACGTTCAGAAATTACTTTTCTGCTCACAGTCAGAATTCCCATTTGTTTCTCAATCAGTAAATCATCCAGTCTGACAAGGAAGTTGCCTGATTAAATGAATTTCATGTTAATGCATAAATAGCTCAAAGACTTTTGGAGCTCTGGAGATATTTATACTTTCTGCATTGGAATTTATTAGCTCAAATACACTGGTAATGGGAAACTATCCGGTGAAAATAAGGAAGGTTTGTTTACCACCTCCAAGGAGAGATCAGGAACTTCTTAAGTCTGTCCCTTAGAGCAATTCTTACTAAGTTCTTTTCAATCATTGTAGATTCTTACATTTCTTTAGATTTTTTCTTAATTAAAGCCTTTGTCCTTTTTTTTTTTTAACATAGGAATAATATATGTTCACTGTAAAACCTTTACCTATAAACCTTTATAAAGAAGAAAAAATTTCATTTGTAATTATCATCCATTCAGTGATAACCTACTATTCACACTTTGGTATTCACCCTTTTTGTTTTTCCTATTTCTTTTTTTCTATTACTGTAGCCTACAAAGTACTTTCTATACTGTAGTTTTTATTCTTCTGCATGTTTGGGCCTCCCTGGTGGCACAGGCGGTTGAGCGCCGCGCTGTGAAGCTGTCCACAGCTCCTGCAGCGGGAGTTTGATCCCAGCCAGCCGAGGAGAAACCCACATGGCACAGCAGACCTCTCTTGTCTCGCCCGCTGCTCCCTTCAGCAGTGTATTTCGTCAGTCTGCCTGTTCTGTTCCCCACTCTGTCTCTGGTGAATCCTCTTACCCTCCCGCACATCTGGCCTGTACCCCGGTTCTTGTATAAATAAATAAATCTTTAAAAAAAAAAAAAAAGTGCATGTTACAGGCATTTTCACGTTTTTAAGTTTTCTTCTACAACATTTTTAATACTTACCTAGTACAGTTTTAATTGATTCAACAAATCTCATGTGGCCATCCAGGTTGCTACCAGTTTTCTCTGTATAGCCATAACTTTCTATATGCCTTTGGTTAGAGCTCTCTGATAAGTTCTAAGAACTGGAATTGGTTGGTCACAGACTATACAGATTTTTTTTTTTTTTTAAGATTCATTTATTTATACAAGCACTGGGTACTGTCAGAAGCGCGGGAGAGTGAGAGAATTCACCAGAGCCAGAGCGGGGAGCAGAGCAGGCAGAAGGACCGAAGTACACTGCTAAGGGGAACAGTGGGTGGCAGGAGAGGTCTGCGCGCCATGTGGGACCCTCCTCCGGTGGCCAGGGAGCAGCCGGGGATCGAACCAGCACTGCAGAAGCTGCGGGCAGCTTTGCAACCCAGCACTCAACCACTGTGCCACCAGGGAGGCCCAGACTATACAGATTTTTAAGGCTTTTGGTAGCATTGCCAGATTTTCATCTAATGGTCAGACCAGTTTCTTATCCAACACTGGAAGCATAAGAAAGACCTTAAATTTCCCTAGTCTTCTTGAATTCTGAACCCACAGATTTAATAAAAGTTAAGCTTTCTCTTATTCACCATCAGTTCCTCTGACTTGGTGAGACATTTTTGATTATTTTTGTACTGTTAAACACTCATAGGTATTTTTGCCACCTGCTACTCCAAAATGTAACAAATGTATTGTTTTTATGTGTGTATGTATGTATGCCTTTTAGGCTTTGCCTTTTGTAACTGTCATTTTACCTTTTTCTGAACCTTAAGTTATCATTACTAATTGCTGTTTACTGTCTCACCCCCTATGTATAGGTGATTTTGGGAGCTGGTCAGCTCTTTCAAGCTCAGCAAGACCTGCTACATCGAACAGCTCCCCTACTCTTGTCTTATTACCTTATTAAGTGGGGAAGTCAGTGCTTGGCAACTGATGTTCCAATGGACACACTGTGAGTTTCACTATTCTAATTTTTTTTTTCAAAAAGCTTATAATTTAAATTATTTTTTCCCTTTGCCTTAAAAAAGTTATATGCATTATGCTATAACATGGTTTGCCTTTAAGATTCAGAGAACTTTTAGATGCTTCATTCTCTAAAGTTTGGGAGCAGCTTACAAGAATGAAAGTAAAAAATGCATATTTGTTGTATATTATGTAAGTCCTATTGAAGGCAAGATAATAAGGTCAGAGGGAAAGTTAGACAACACACAAAATGTTTTGTTAGTTGTAAGATTCACACTTTCAGTGAAGTAAACCATCCTTTTTGCTCCAGCAAAGTAAGGCTTTTCATGGTGTATCTAAGAGAAATTTCTCCTCTGACCTATCATTGAGGAATCTCTGAGTGCTGTGATGGGCACAGTCTAAATCATGACATGCTTTCTGGGGTTTTGGGCTTTCAGTGGAACATTTATGTACAATTTACTAATTAAATTGACAGTGTTATTGTTGAGATAACAGGAATTAATGTTTGGCAAAGCTTACTCAGTTTTTTCTCTTCTCACAGAGAGTCTAATCTCCAACACTTGTCAGTACTGGAACTAACAGATTCTAGTGCTTTTGCAGCAAATAAGTTTGGTATGTATTTGGTTTTAAGTTTTGCATTTATTGCATTTTTATTAAATGAGTTTGCCATTTTTGCTGTGGAAAGGTTGGTACGCTCTGTTTTTACTTTGAAAGGGTAAGAATAAGCCATGGGCTGAGATCTTTAGTTGTGACAAGGGGTTCATGAAATCATAGACTTGGATCAGATATAAATTAAAAGCGTTGCATATATTTGTATGTACATATATATATATATATATTGTTGCTGCTGCTTTTCTGTTACATTATGCTGTAGTGATTAATTAAAGTTTTTTAATTTACCAAGTTACTTTTGTAATCTTTCTTAGTCAGCAAGGATTCCTTAAGGATGCCTGTCATGCTTGAGAACCGTCATAGAGAATTTATTTTGTTTTGCTATAAAATTGGAATCTTGGGACTGTATTATAAAGACTTTCTAGGGAATATACTTAGGTATAGTGAGATTAGCAAAAATGAGTACAGTGTTAATTTATGACTTGGCGCATTTGTATAGTACTTCAAAATGTACAAACTCCTTTTATTTATATTGCTTTTGTGTATACCCATGATGCCTTTTATATTTTAAAATGTTAAATGTTCTTTGTTTCAGACATAAAATTAATTGGTTGACTGTCCTAATTAAAAATTGACATTGCTATCACAAGTTGGTGATGGTCATAACTTTTTATTTTGAAGTTTCTAGCCCTCAGACAATTGTGGAGTTATTCTTTCAAGAAGTGGCAAGAAAGCACATTATATCTCATCTCTTCTCTCAACCAAAGGCACCTCTGAACCAAACTGAGTTGAATTGGTCTGAGATGATTACTACAGTTACCAACTATTTATTGCAGCTTTTGTATCCTTTTATGTAAAAACCCACTGAGCTATTTTCCCTATCTAAATAGTCTAGTAAGCATATTCTGCCTGTAAATGAGGATTAATGAGAGTTATTATTCCCCCAACAAAGAATTGTAATAATTCTTTTCAGATACTTACAGATTTTTGCTTATATTTTGCTCTAAAGTTGAGCGCTATTTTATGGTGCACATTTAATACCTAGATTCCTTGTAAAGCATTTATCCATCAAATGTTTATCAAAGTCTCTATGTGACAGCCCTATGTTAGGTGCTGGTTATCAATTGGCACCAATAGTCTCCAATAGTCTGCCTGTGCAGTGTACTAGACAGAATTGGGAATGACCACTAGGATGAATTCCATGCTTTAACCCGTAATTAACTGATTTCTAAGCTAAGTGACTAGGCTTCATCTTCACAAGACACCCTTTGCACAGGCAGAGTGCAAACACAGCCCCCCGCTACCACAGATTATGCAGTCAAGTTTCCCACATTTGGGGAAATGTCAGGGGTCAGCACATCCAGAGTGCAATGTATAAGTGACTAGGCTTCTAGTATACATCTTTTAATTCTATTTGTCTAATATTAAGATTATATAGTGATGAGGAAAGAACATGAGTTCTGTCACCTTTATCTTCTTTCCTAAAAATTAACCTATTTCATGGAATTCAATGCCCAATGTGTATATATAAGTTTTGCCCAAAAAGTTTTGAAAATCTCCTTATCCAACAACTAGGTGGCCTAGCAATCCTGGTTGTCTCTTTCTAGAATGTTTGATGGGAAACTGCCAGTATGTACAACTGCAGGTGAGTGCTGTTGAACATTACATTTCAGTTTTAATCATTTTTCTTTTAAATATTTATTTATTTATTTATACAAGAACCGGGGTACAGGCCAGATGCGCATGAGGGTGAGAGGATTCACCAGAGACAGAGCAGGGAGCAGAACAGGCAAACTGATGAAATACACTGCTGAGGAGAGCAGTGGGCATGACAGGAGAAGTCTGCCATGCCATGTGGGACCCTCGCCGGCCAGCCAGCCGGGATAAAACCCGCACTGCAGAGGCTGCGGACAGCTTCACAGCGCGGTGCTCAGCCACCTGCGCCACCAGGGGTGGCCCCAGTTTTAATCATTCTTGTAAAGAATGGAATTTCTGGAATTTTCTTTGTAGATATCACCTGCACTTTTAGTGGGTTTATAATAAAAGCCACAAAAATTTAAATTTGATTGCTCCAAAACAGCCCAGAGAGATTGTCACTTGACAGTATCATTTCTAGCATGATATTTTTCTAGAAAAAAAATTTTTTTTAATTCTTTTCTGTTAGATTGACGAGTAGTTTTTAATCTTCAGGTGATTTCAGGAATGCAGTTTTTTCTTGATTGAATTTGGAAGTGAGTATCTCCTTAAGTAGTATATGTTTTCTAATCAGAAAGTACTTTTTATGCCTTTAAGGACTATATTCAACTGCTCCATCCCTGGTGTCAAGTCAATGTTGGTTCCTGCCGATTTATGCTGGGACGGTGTTACCTGGTTACAGGAGAGGGACAGAAGGTAAGCTATATTTGAATGAGGAACCAACTTCAGTGCTACGAAGACACTTTGTTTCCATCTAAATTGGAGGATATGGCAGGCATGTAAGAATAAAGACTAATGCTACCTATTTCCCCGTTGTGGAAGTCCATTTCTAGTTTTTACCCTGACATCATAATTTTTAAAACAGAAACATATATTTTCAAACAAAGAAAAGTTTAAAGGCTTACAGTAAATTTACATTCACTTAAATTCTACAAACGTTAAAATGTTGCTATAGTTGCTTTAGTATATGCATTTACTAAACATGAATCAGTTTTTTAATTAATAGTATTTAAGTTTAAAGTGAGATATTAAAGAAAGATATTAAATAATATATCAGATAGAATTTAGAATGGTGAATGTAGTCAAAAGTCTTTTTTTTTTTTTCCTTCCACATTCTAAAAGGACAGCTTTATTAGGAAAAGGAGAAAAAGAGAGGTACCTGCATAGTCACAAGAGGGCAGGGGAGCAGCCTCAACAGTCTTACATAATCTGCTGTTTCCTTAGTACCTGAGACCCTAGCTTATAGCAACTAGAATTGGAATGATCCCTTCTAGATCACTTTGTATTCTTTCGTTTCTCCAGGCTTTAGAATGTTTTTGCCAGGCAGCCTCCGAAGTAGGCAAAGAGGAATTCTTAGACCGCTTGATCCGTACAGAGGATGGAGAAGTGGTGTCCACACCCAGACTGCAGTATTATGATAAGGTACATTGTGTCATGGTTTGGTTCTTCTGCACTACTTGGTATAAAAATGTAGCTGAAATACATTGCTTGGGCTTTTTTTTGGAAAAAAAGAATATGAAAATTTAGTTGTTTCCTGAACTTCCAACTTCTCTTTCCAGTGAAAAGAAAAATTCTCCTGAAATTTTGCCTCAAGAAATTAATGTACTTTCAATTAAATTTGATAAATGGGGGGCCTCCCTGGTGGTGCAGGGGGTTAAGTCTCAGTACTATGAAGCTTCTGCAGCCACTGCAGCACGAGTTCGATTCCCCACCAGGGAGCTAACCCACATATGGCGCAGCAGACCTCTCCTGTCTCACCCAAAGATCCCCTTAGCAGTATATTTCAATAAATCCACCTGTTCTCTCCACTTTCTCTGGTGAATCCTCTCACCCCCTGCACCTCTGGCTTGCATTCCAGTTCTTGAAAGTATAAATAAATAAATCTTTCAAAATAAAATGAAATAAAATAAATTTGATAAGTGTTTTTTCACTTAAGTGAATTTTCCCTTATATCATTTTATTAATACAGTCAGCATTAGAATTTTATCGATTAATAGTACTCTTGCTGATGTCTCCTAGAATTAAGTAATGCTGTATTTATCCTTCATTTATGAGTTCTTAATCTGGGTACTGGTCATAGGGAGGTTTAGTTAGTGAATATGCACTTATACATGTACTTGGGATTTGTACACATTGTAGTTCAATGAAAAATAGAACCTTAACAAAAATTATGCATCTCTGACAAAAAGATATTTTTGTACAGTTAATTTTTAAAAAGCATATAATAAGAATTAGTGGGTAAAAATAGTTTTAAACCTATTTGCTATCTTTATGTTCTTCGTCCTTTAAAATATATTTTGAGGGCCTCCCCGGTGGCGCAGTGGTTGAGCATTGGGCTGCGAAGCTGCCCGCCGCCTCTGCGGCGCCGGTTCGATCCCCGGCTGCTCCCCGGCCACAGGAGGAGGGTCCCACATGGCGCGCAGCCCTCTCCTGCTGCCCGCTGCTCCCCTCAGCAGTGTACTTTGGTCCTTCTGCCAGCTCTGCTCCCCACTCTCTGGCTCTGGTGAATTCTCTCACCCTCCTGTGCTTCTGACTGTACCCAGTGCTTGTATAAGTAAATAAGTAAATCTTTAAAAAAAAGATTCTCTTTATTAAAAAATATATATATATATTTTGAGTGTGTTACACGTTTATCTTAGAGATGTATGTCGATAAGTAAATACCTGTACGTGTCTGGGTTAGTGTACAGAGACATTGTTAATAGGATGGATAATCAAAAAAATCTGAAGTGCACTGTTGGGACCACTAAGCAGGTTTTCTATGATCCAGCAGACCGGGTAAAGGAGGAGTCAGAGCCCTCAGTGGCTTTTTGCAGGCTTTTACTGGGATTTACCCGGTACACAGCAGGCAAGGGTTGCTGGGGGTCCAGGAGGTTGGCAGGCCTCCCAGCCCCCAGCAAGTCTTCACTCTATCTGGGCTCTCCAGCCTTCTCTTATGTTCTCTCTTCTTCTCTCGGCTTCTCTGCTTCTCTCTCAGCTTCTCTGCTCCTCTCTCGGCTTCTGTTTGTTCTTGGCTTCTACTGGCATCCCCGTGATGCCACCCTTAAATCACAGTCTTAGCCCAAGTGAATCCTATCTACATCTGCCCACACCCTATTCCAGGTGCCCGCCATCAGGCATGCATTCAGGACCGCAAGGATCCAGCATCTATCCTGATGGCGGGAGGGCAGAAAAGCCTGACATTTTTTCCTTACCCTACATGCACTCTTCTGTATTGTATTTGGAAAGGGTCGTGGCACACTTTTAGCATATTCTCTGGGGGGTTTTATTAGGCTGTGATGTGAATTTACTTACTAGACTTTAAAATCACTTGTGAGGGCCTCCCCGGTGGTCTAGGGGTTAAGTGTCAGTGCTATTACCTGTACAGCATGAGTTCATTCTCCGCCCAGGGAGCTAACCCACATATGGCCCAACAGAAACCTCTCCTGTTTCACCTGCTGCTCCCCTTAGTGTAATTTCACTGAATCCACCTGTTCTGCTCCCCACTCCGTCTTGGTGAATCCTCTTACCCCCTGCACCTCTGGCCTACACCCCAGTTCTTCTGTGCAAAAATAAATAAAAATTTTAAAAAATAAAAATTTAAAAAATAATAAAATCACCTGTGACCTAAGTAGTCTATAGGAAAATCTAAGTTCTATTATTTTTCTTTCAATAAATATTTACAGAGTCTATTACAAACTAAACAGTAAAGACAGAACTGGGAACCAAAAGGACCAATATAAAGTTTTACAACCAACCAGCCTACATTTAACAGTAGCACCTGAAGGGAAATCTTAAATATTAAGAAAATAATCATGCCTGTCTTGGCGGCACCTTTGATTTAATCTTTCCTAGTCATCTAATTTACCTGAAATCGTAATTCAATTTGAAATGCACTACCATATTGATTTTGGTGAAATATCTTCTAATTTCTCCTTAGGTTTTGCGTCTACTAGATGTTGTTGGTTTGCCTGAACTGGTTATCCAGTTGGCTACATCAGCCATCACTGAAGCAGGTGATGACTGGAAAAGTCAGGTAAGATTTAACTGTGATCGAGTTGTTCCTCTTTGGCTTGCCCTGAATGTGTTACTGTAATTTTTGTTATACTTTTCCACCTATATTTTATATTAGGCTACTTTAAGGACATGCATTTTCAAACATCATTTGGATCTGGGCCACAATAGTCAAGCTTATGAAGCCTTAACCCAAATTCCTGATTCCAGCAGGTAATACTCTCACAGTCTTTTTTAGAGGAGGCAATTTAGCAGCCCTTTTTAATCCACTGAGACAGTTTATCCTGATCCTTCTCTTTCCTTCCAGGCAGTTAGATTGTTTACGGCAGCTGGTGGTGGTTCTTTGTGAGCGCTCACAGCTGCAGGATCTGGTAGAATTTCCCTATGTGAACCTGCATAATGAGGTAATTATATTTATCTGCCCATGACTAGAGCCAGGGTGGTTGCCAGGATGTCTACTAACTTTGATAACTGATTGTTTTCTCTTCCTCAGGTTGTGGGAATAATTGAATCACGTGCAAGAGCTGTGGATCTTATGACTCACAACTACTATGAGCTTCTATATGCTTTCCACATCTATCGCCACAATTACCGAAAGGGTGAGCAGTTATAGCAGTCATTGTTGGCAGCAACCTTATCAGTTTAATCGCATTTTACAAAAATAGCATGTGTTTGACTTAGGTGATTTTTACTCTTGTAAGAGCAGGAATGACCCTTACTGCGCAGATTTTCTAGGATCCCATGCAGACTGGGTAAAGGAGAAATCAGAGTCCTTAGTGGCTTTTTTGCAAGTCTTTTATTGGGATTTACCCGGTACACAGCAGGCAAGGGTGCTGGGGGGCCGGGAGACTGGCAGTCCTCCCAGCCCCCAGCAAGTCTTCACTCTATCTGGGCTCTCCGGCATTCTCTGCTTCTCTCTCGGCTGCTTCTTTCGCCTTCTACTTCTCTAGCTTCTCTCTCAGCTTCTCTTTTGCCTTCTACTGGTGTCCCCGTGACGCCATCCTTAAAAATCACAGTCTTAGCCCAGGTGAATCCCATCTACCTATGCCCACACCCTATTCCAGGTGCCCGCCATCAGGCATGCATTCAGGACCGCAAGGATTCATCATCTATCCTGATGGCGGGAGGGCAGGAAAGCCTGACGATTTTCCTTACCCTACAATTCTATCATTGGAAAGTGTTCTTTGTAAGTATTTGGCGAAATTATGTTTAAGAACAAGATTAGCTTCACCCTTTTGAAGATTACCTGTTTGCTTTAAAGATATACACTTATTCCCTTTCTAGAATATTCTTAAGGTGTGTCCAGTGAGATCACATTCTATTTGTATCTTCTATCTGATTTCAAAGGAAATTAATTTTTTCGCTAGCAGCACCTTAAACTTCTGTGGCTGGTTTTTACTTCTTGTACCATTTTGCCTTTATTTTTCTTTATTTTTGCTTTTTCTTTAGGAGTAAGTTGCATACATCATGACTCTTAAATAATGCAGATATTTAAGCTATTATCCGTTAAAGCCATTTCATGTATAACCTCAGTACAGTTGTCAAAGGAAAGATATGTAATAGCCACTTGGTGCAGCAGACCTCTCCTGACTTGCCTGCTGCTCCCCTCAGCAGTATATTTCAGTTGATCTGCCTGTTCTGTTCTCCACTCTGTCTCTGGTGAATCCTCTTACCCCCCGCACCTCTGGCCTGTACCCCAGTTCTTGTATGTATGCATGCATAAATAAACATCATTGCATAAAATAACATCATTCGATAGATTCATATACAGCGTTTACCAACTATCAATTTTTTTTTATGCACATTCCTCCATACTGCCTCACCCGAATGACATGTTACATTCACTTCTCCTATCTCTTCAGTTTCCTTTAACCAGGAGCATTTGTTTTAGCCTTACTTTACCACTTTACCTTCCATGGCACAGATATTTCTGAAGAGTATAGACCAGTCACTTCTGTAGAGTGTGTCTTAATTTGGATTTGTATGATGATTAATGAAGTCTTTGTGAGAACAGATATAAATGAAGGGATTGCTGTCTGCTTTAAAATCACATTTGACAGCATAATCATTGTGGTTCTCTTTTGGGACTTTCAACATTTTTATACCATTTTTACTCAGAATTCTTCAAGTATATACAAAAGTTGATTTATACTTACCTGAAATATATATAATGTAATCTTCAATTAAAAATTACTTTAGGGGCCTCCCCAGTGGCGCAGCTGTTGAGCGCTGGGTTGCGAAGCTGCCCGTGGCCTCTGCAGTGCCGGTTCGATCCCCGGCTACGCCCCGGCCACTGGAGGAGGGTCCCACATGGCGCGCAGCCCTCTCCTGCTGCCCGCTGCTCCTCTCAGCAGTGTACTTCGGTCCTTCTGCCTGCTCTGCTCCCCGCTCTGGCTCTGGTGAATTCTCTCATCCTCCCGCACTTCTGACTGTACCCAGTGCATGTATAAACAAAACAAACAAACAAATAAATAAATAAAACATGCCTCTATAAAAAAAAAATTACTTTAAATAAGTAAAATGTTAGTTCATGATTCCCACCTCCAACATAAAAAGAAATTTTCATCAAGTTTCTTGCTGATTTTCTTTCCAAAGAGTGAATGAAAATAATTTATAAGCTTATTCTTAATGGTAAAATGTTTGCAAATTATTTTCTTGAATCATACTGAAAAGTGTGATTAATCTTTTAAAATTAAAAATTTTTTAATTTCTCGTTATTTGCTTTTACAAAAACAATGTTCACTATGTCAACCTGATTGAGACCAGTTTAGTTAGATTAACTTTCTGGTCTTTCTGGAACAAGGCTATTTCTTCCAACAAAATGTTTTTTTTTGGAATGAAAAATAGCTTCATTCAAAAACTGAAAGAATTTTTGAATGCTATTTAGTTTCAAGAGTCCCATGCTATCTCAAAACAACATATTTTACAGTATCATTAGTCTAGTTATTACATTTCCTTGTGTAACACAAAGTATTACAAAATTAAGAGTCTGTGTTCTTGAGCAGAGCATCCAAACATTTCATGGCCTCAGAATTCTGGGTGAGGATAGGTGATAGTGTGGCCAAGACTAGCTCCAAACTAGTCTGTATTGCCTGCGAATGTAGTTTGTAAGTCAAAAGTAATAGTCTGCATCATTTTTTTTTTTTTTGAGCTTTTTTTAAATTGTAAAATACAGATAACACAGACTTACTATCTTTTTTTAAAAAAAAAAGATTTATATAAGAACTGGGGTACAGATCAGAAAGCATGGGAGGGTGAGAGGAGAGAATTCAGCAGAACCAGAGTGGGGGGCAGAACAGGCAGACTGACCCACGACACTGCTGAGGGGAGCAGTGGGCGAGGCAGGAGAGGTCTGCTGCACCATGTGGTGTTCTCCCTGACTGGTGGGAAATCGAACCGGCACTGCAGAGGCTGCGGACAGCTTCACAGTGCGGTGCTCAACCACTGCGCCACCGGCGAAGCCCACAGACTTACTATCTTAACCATTTTTAAGTGTTCAGTAATAAATACATTCATGTTATTTTGTGACCAGTCTCCAGAATTCTTCATCTTACAAAACTGAAAATCTTTACTAATTAAACAATAACCTTACATTCCTTCCTCTCCTGACCCCTAGTAACTATCATTATACTGTCTGTCTCTATGAATTTGGCTACGGAATCATATAGTATTTGTCTTTGTGAAGCCGACTTGTTTCACTTATGTTTTTAAGGTTCATCCATGTTGTAGTTTGTGTCAGGATTTCCTTCCCTTTTAACACTCAATAATAAATGTAGCATATGTTTGTGTATATATGTAGTCTGAGTGTGTTCATGTACAGATAGATTACATTTCGTTTATCAGTCCATCAGTGGACATTTGGATTGTTTCTACCTTTTGACTATTGTGAGTAATGCTGCTAATGAACATGTGTGTACAAATACTTCTTTAAGACCCTGCTTTCAATTTTGTGGCGTATATATTCTCAAGTGTAATTGCTAAATCATAGGATAGTTCACTCCCAACAGTGCATAAGGATTCCAGTTTCTTCATATCCTCACTATGTGATTTTTTGTGATTTTAAGTTAAATTCAAATTTGTTTTAAAATTTAATATTTGATAAGTGTAACATCGTCTTTGTATCTCTGAAGTAACATGTTTTTTAAATTCTAAAGTCTTATTATTGCCTCATAGCTGGCACAGTGATGTTTGAGTATGGAATGCGTCTTGGCAGAGAGGTTCGGACTCTCCGGGGACTTGAGAAGCAAGGCAACTGTTATCTGGCTGCTATTAATTGTTTACGACTTATTCGTCCAGAATATGCATGGATTGTGCAGCCAGCATCTGGTGCGGTGGTATGAAAACTGTATCCTGGAATTTGGGATCATTTAATTTACTTGGTTTGGATTTTTCAAAACTGTTACCTCACTTTGCTTCAATTCATTTAAAATTTCTACTGGGATATTTGTGAATTATTTTTGTAGCAATTACACATTAGTATCTCTTCATTCTCAAGTTAAGAATTACTGTATGAAGGAGTGCTGCAGATTGGTTTTGGAATTAGACCTGACTAATAACTTCAGGCTAGTTACTCATTGTTTTTCTGTCCTCTTGTCCTTTTGCATGAAATAGGAATGATGATGATGATAATGTCAATCTTATGGGATTGTTGGGAGTTAAATGAGAAAATTCGTATAGATAGCTTACAGTGAGTGTCTGGCCTGCAGACACTCCTACTAACCTACAGTAGTCCTGACATCAGTGTGAACTTCAATCATGGTCTGCCATTTTTTGACCATGGAACATATTTTTCATGATTAAGATCTATGCCATGAAAGTTAGGCAGTTTTGGCCCTGAATATCCACAGTAATTAAATTTTCTAAATGCAACTTCATCCTGCAAATCATCAAGGCTCACTTCAAAAATATAACCCCTGAGGCAGTCAGATGAGATTTTGGTTCCTTGAGTTCTTGTGACTCTTGTTTTTTCAATATTTCTATATTGAACATAGCTGATGCCTTGGCATCATACCAGTATTTCTTAGAAAATGGGTCAGCCCACTTTCTTGGCTCCTTTTTTGCCACCCTTCATAAGTTGCTTGTTTTTACCAACTGCTGTGGTGCTGTCCTTCAGTAATTGTTCTAAAAAGACACACCTTTTGAGTTTTTCTCATCTTGATGATGATATCATCCCAGTTACTTAATGTTACACAGTTCATAGATTTTACTAGACTTATTTCCCTGGGTTATGGATGCAGAATAATTCAGGACCCAAGAAAAGTTAAGTGGTTTATGTAGAGATCAAAGTCATGTCCTTGGATTCAATAATAGGTTACAACTGAGTCAGCTCAGCAAGCAACTCCATTTCTTTGTCTGACAGTTATTATACCTTTGTAAGAGCTATGTTTGTTCAGATAAACATAACTTATTGTTGAGAGAGTTTAAAGCTCTGAATCACAGTTGATGATTTCAAAGTAAAATCATTTTTCACAGTTAAATCTGTTATCTTTTTAGTATGATCGCCCTGGAGCATCTCCTAAGAGGAATCATGATGGAGAATGTACAGCTGCCCCAAGTGAGTTGATGTCTCACACTGATTCTTTGCTGGACAGGAATTGTATTACAGTAGTATTTGCATTTATATATGTATCGTAGTTAGATACATTATAGTAATACATAATACAGTAGTTGTAATATGTTTTTAGGTCTGTGTAGGGTCAGGAATGGACACTGAGCAGGTTTTCTGATCCAGCAGACCGGGTAAAGGAGAAGTCAGAGTCCTCAGTGGCTTCTGCAGGTCTTTTATTGGGATTTACCAGGCATCCAGGCATATGGCAGGCAGGGGTGCTGGGAGGCCTCCCAGCTCCTAGCAAGTCCTCACTCTATCTGGGCTCTCCCCCTCCCTCCTTCTGCTTCTTTCTCGGCTTCTCTTTTGGCTTCTTCTGCTCTTCTGTTCATTCTTGGCTTCTCTTTCAGCTTCTGCTGGCATCCCTGTGACACCGCCCTTAAAAAGCCCAGTCTTAGCCCAGGTGAATCCCATCTACCTATGCCCACACCCTATTCCAGGTGCCCGCCATCAGGCATGCGTTCAGGACCGCAAGGATCCAGCATCTATCCTGATGGCGGGAGGGCAGAAAAGCCTGACATTTTTCCTTACCCTACAGCCTGTTACTCCAGATAACGTAGTGATTAAATTATATTGTAAAATATTGTAAAGGTCCTTCTTTGTAGTTTATTTTCAAGTTCTTAATCTGTAAGTGTTGTCGCATAGTCCTTGGAATGCTTCATGTAATTGTAGGGGAAATGAAAATGCTTTGAAGAAAGTGTGTGTTTGTTACTTGTTGTATTTAAGTCATATTTGTTTATCAAACTCCTTTGATAATACCACAGAGCCACATCCTTCCATAAAGGGTGAGCTCACACCCGGTTTTAATTCTGCCTCTCATCTTGGGAATGTTCTTTCTTGCTGATAAAGAGAACAGTATTTCACAGTTGTGAGAGTTAAACGAAATTACATGTAAAGTGTCTTTGTAAGCGCCTCCCCAGCTGCAGTTGTAGTGCTTTGATTCAATGCAGCTGCATGAGTGAAATAGGGACGTGGCTTTGTGTTTTATTAGCTTTTATTGAGCCCTTTGTTTTCTCCCTGTTCATGCCTTTGGAAATCAATGGGTTGAGCTAGACTAATATGCACTTCCTCTCTGTATTTTGGGAACTGAGAATATTTCCCTTTGGCTTATAGCAAGTCGGCAAATTGAAATCCTGGAACTGGAAGATCTGGAGAAGGAGTGTTCCTTAGCTCGCATTCGTCTCACTCTGGCTCAGCATGATCCATCAGCAGTTGCAGTTGCAGGTAGGAATTCAGCACAAGCTTCTAATTGCCACATGAAAAATCACATTTTAGGGCCAGAGTGTGGACATAGTGTACTAGAGGAAATAAAGTATGTCATTGTTATTCTGAGATACACGTCTTTGTTCGGGCTCATTTGCCTAATAAATTGGGTGCACTAAATCCTCTTTCATTTCCACAGGAAGTTCATCAGCAGAGGAGATGGTTACACTTTTGGTTCAGGCTGGCCTTTTTGACACTGCCATATCACTCTGTCAGACTTTTAAGCTTCCCTTAACACCAGTCTTTGAGGGACTTGCTTTCAAGTATGTATAAATTTTCTTTTATGGTCTTAATTTTCTAGTGCAAAAAAAGCTGTATTTTTGCTTTTTGTGAACTAGTGGTCACATGAGCTAGTATCCTGTAAGCCATTTGTGGTTTATGAAAGTCTTTTAGTCCATACAGTGTTTTTTATTATTATTATTAATGGATTATGACTTTCTTTAAATCTTATTTATTACTTCTCTTGAGAAATCAGAAGATCTGGCAATCCCAGACCCACATTCCCACATGTCAAGATATACCCTGGGTTAAACAGTGATGTCCATTTTTGACAAGGCCTGTGTTTTCTTCACTCCTTTAGGACCTCCATAGAGGTCCTTCTTAATGAAGTAACCTTATTCCTAAATGTTAGTCAAGTAATTGTAAATTGGAAATATTTTTTAAACTGTCAGAATTTTTCATCATCAGTTTTCTCTTGAAAATAAATTATCTCTAACACTGTTGATAGCCTTGTAGGCTATGCAGTTGTAGGACTGTGAAGAGAGAGGTGAGCTAATATCCTAGTAGTGAGTTCAGCAGGAGACCAGAGCTAAATTTGTCACTTATCTTGCCAGTGTTAGTAACAAAATAGGGTAATGCTTTTCAGTATAGTAGGTTACTACGTGTGAAACCATTTTCATTGCAGATGCATCAAATTGCAGTTTGGAGGAGAGGCAGCACAAGCAGAAGCCTGGGCCTGGCTAGCAGCCAACCAGCTCTCATCAGTTATCACCACTAAGGAGTCCAGGTATAGCCCTGTTGTTTGGGTGTTACCTGTCTCCACCGTATGGCTCTTCCTTTGCTTAAATTGGCATCCACTGATCATTTCACTTTTCTTTTGTGGCTGTTTTTGTAGAAACTGGAGTGCTTATACTTAAGGGTGATGTCATGTAATTTGTTATCCAATCCAGGGCACCGTTGACCATGAAATGTTGCTTTCTATCCCCTTCCTAAAAGGGGATATTATATCATCAAGAAAATGTACTCATACAGGCAAAAGTCTATATTTAATTGGTTTCAGAGAGTACTGTTGCTTTTCCACATTCCTTCCCTTAAACCCACACTGCGTATTGTCACATGATCCTCTTTAGCTTACCTGTGACTACTGTTTTAGCAATGTGTCACTCAGCCACCCCACCATACCTTCTTCAGATTTCCCGTCATCATATACTCTTCCCTAGTGTACCTCATTACCTGAATGTGGCTCATTTTTTCCTTCCAGATCCTTTGCTATCAAACCTAACCCTCAGTAAACTTCCTGTCCTCGATATGCATTTACTATTTGTACGATGCTGCTTAGCACTTACTTTAGAATTGTGGTATTCTACAGTTTATAAGTTCTTTAACTTTAATTTTCAACCCCAAAATTAGCACACAAGAATTAATACTAAAATAAAATTATAACTACATCAAGACTTCTACATGTCTCTTTCTCACTTAGGGGTTGGCCACCAGTGATTTGAGCCAGTTTACTGTTTCAGGGGCCTCCTGGTGGCGCAAGGGGTTGAATCGCAGCACTATGAAGCTATCGGCAGCCACTGAAGCACAAGTTCGATCCCCAGGCAGGGAGTTAAGCCACATGGCACAGCAGACCTCTCCTCTCTCACAAGCTGCTCCCCTCAGCAGTGTATTTCAGTCAGTCTGCTTGTTCTGCTCCCCACTCTGTCTCTGGTGAATCTTCTCACCCACTGCTCCTCTGACCTACACCCTAGCTCTTGTATGCATAAATAACTAAAATAAATCTTTAAAAAAAAAAGTTAAGTGCATTATATAGTTGAATAAGTTTATGTGTAGTGGGAGAAAAATAAAGGAATCCTAGTCATTGCACTTTCTAGAATGACCCATATACCACACTGACCCTATTAATACTAGTTGCCATTAAACTATATTACCAATTCAATTGAGAGCTAAAGATATTTTTCCTTGTGAATACATGTTTTGAATGGTACTATAAATATCTACTAAGAATGTGAAACTCATTAGATCTTTTCATTTTTATCAAGTGCTACAGATGAAGCATGGCGACTATTGTCAACTTACCTGGAAAGGTATAAAGTTCAAAATAACTTATATCACCATTGTGTAATCAACAAGCTGTTGTCTCACGGAGTGCCTCTGCCTAATTGGCTTATAAACAGTTACAAGGTAAGTATCCTAACTTGTAGAAAGCAGCTGATCTTTATTCTGAATGATTTCATGAGATGGTTAAAAAGAAAAAGATGATAATATATGGAAATAAATCGACTTACATACTTTGGACAGCTTCTTAAACTTAGCTGAGACACTACAGTTTTACTTCAATTCCACATGAAGTACTAGGTGTTTAGATTCATACTTCTACTGAGTAGTAATTAAGTTAATGCCTGCTTTTGGCTCACAAGCAATGAGTATATTTAGAACAGTAACTAAGTAAATACCTCACACAGTGTTTACTCCACAGGAGTGGGTGGAGTAGTTTTCAAATACTACAACAGTGTTTCTTAAAGTAGGTCTTTATCAGCATTGGATTCTGTAATGGAATTACTTGGATAGTGTGCTTCAAAATAGATTCTTATGTCCCATCCCAAACCTACACAATCATATTATCTGGAGTTAGGAGACAGAAATCTGTATTTTAACAAACTTAAAATTTTTAAGTTAGAAAGTAGAGAAGGTAGCTAATGTGATCAGAAGATTAAGATTGTGATCAAATCAGATACTGAAAGCATGATTAACATAATAGAGCTCTTTCAAATATTGAGGCTGTACTCACTTTTCTCATATCCTGGCTTAAATACCAATTCTATGTAGGCATTTAAAATTGTTGATTTTTTAAAACTTCTTTTATATTTGTTGTTCATGTATTTCTGAGAATTAATTGAATATATTGACTTATTAGTCAGCATTTCTGAGAAGGTCTACTGACTGACTAATGTGGAAACTTTAGAGAGAAGATAAAATGTGTCTTAGATTACACAACAAGGGAGGAAGGCCACTTAACAGATAGGGCTTACAGGGTACCCAGAGGTAAGTGAGCTCTTGGGACTCTAATCCTTATCCCAAGATATAGAGGAGTAGACCAAGGTGCTCATTTGTTTACAGAGAAGTATAAATGTCAGTGACTTGGACATAATATCTTTGCAATGTCAGTGCCCAAGTAAGATGGAATCAGATAAATGTCTTTAATCACTGGCTTTTTACAGAAGGTTGATGCTGCAGAATTGCTCCGTCTATACTTGAACTATGACCTTTTAGAAGAAGCTGTGGATTTGGTTTCAGAATATGTGGATGCTGTGTTGGGAAAAGGACACCAGTACTTTGGAATTGAGGTAGATGTGTGGACATTCTTTTTCATTCTGTATTATCACTCTAAGTCAATTCAGGATCTGAAAGTAAATGGGATGATAGAATGGGGAATTTAACCTTTACTATATGTAGTTACACAACTAATTTTCTACAAAGTCAGGGATTGGCACTCTAAGCATCTCCAGTTTTCTGTTTCTAAAAGGGAATGTATTTTTTTCCCCTCCATCAAAAGAATGTGGCTTTAATTGTTTTTTTAGAGATTTATTTTTATTTATTTATACATACAATAACTGGAGTCTAGGCCAGAGGTGCGGGAAATGAGACGATTCACTGGAGACAGAGTGGGGAGCAGAACAGGAGGATCTACTGAAATACACTGCTGAGGGGAGCAGCAGGCGAGACAGGAGAGGTCTGCTGTCCCATGTGAGTTAGCTCCCTGGCTAGGGATCGAACTCAGGCCTCAGCAGTAAAAGTGCTGACAGTGCTGACTTAGCCCCTACACAACAAGGGAGGCCTGAGCCACTGTTTTAATCCTTTTGTCCAAAAGAAAACACATACTCAGTGGTTAAATTGTCAAAGCTCACATAGATTGTAAATAAAAGAGCCACATCTAAAATCCAGGTCTGGGGCCTCCCCAGTGGCGCAGCAGTTGAGCGCTGGGTTGCGAAGCTGCGCGCAGCCCTCTCCTGCTGCCCGCTGCTCCCCTCAGCAGTGTACTTCGGTCCTTCTGCCTGCTCTTCTCCCCGCTCTGGCTCTGGTGAATTCTTTCACCCTCCCCGCGCTTCTGACTGTACCCAGTGCTAGTATAAATAAATAAATAAATAAATCTTTAAAAAAAAAAAAAAAATCCAGGGCCTCCCCGGTGGCGCAGCGGTTGAGCGCGGGGTTATGAAGCTGCCAGCAACCTCTGCAGTGCCAGTTCGATCCCCGGCTGCTCCCCGGCCACCGGAGGAGGGGCCCACATGGCGTGCAGGACTCTCCTGCAGCCCGCTGCTCCCCTCAGCTGTGTACTTCGGTCCTTCTGCCTGCTCTGCTCCCCGCTCTGGCTCTGGTGAATTCTCTCACCCTCTCGCACTTCTGACTTACCCAGTTCTTGTATAAATAAGTAAATAATAAATAAATCTTTAAAAAAAAAAATTAAAAAAAAAAAATCCAGGTCTGGTCATTATGAGAGCAAGCTCTCTAAACTTAAAAAGTTGGACTTTTCCTTTTTTTTTTTTTTTTTTTTCTTTTTTTTCCCCCAGATAACTGGAATTTTTTAATTGCTAAATAGAAATAGCATTATTCATCAACAATTTAGAGACTAAGTTCTGTTGAATGTATTGAACTTAATACATTCAAGATAAGGGCTCCTTTAACATCAAAGATGATTTTAATTTAAAAATAAATTTGGGGGCCTCCCCGGTGGCGCAGCGGGTTGGGCGCCGTGCTGTGAAGCTGTCCGCAGCCTCTGCAGCATGGGTTCGATTCCCGGCCAGCCAGGGAGATTCCCACATGGCGCAGCAGACCTCTCCCGTCGGATCCGCTGCTCCCCTCAGCAGTGTATTTTGGTCTTCTGCCTGTTCAGCTCCCCGCTCTGTCTCTGGTGAATCCTCTCACCCTCTCGCGCCTCTGGCTTGTACCCCGGTTCTTATATAAAAATAAATAAATCCAAAATATGTATTACTATAAATAAATAAATTTGGTGGGCCTCCCTGGTGATGCAATGGGTTAAGACACAACCTATGAAGCTAACCACAGACCCTGCAGCACGAGTTCGATTCCCGGCCATGAAGCAACCCACATGGCGCAGCCGACCTCTCCTGATTTGCCTGCTGCTCCCCTCAGCAGTGTATTTCAGTCAATCTGCATGTTTGTTCCCCACTCTGTCTCTGGTGAATCCTCTCACCCCCCGCACCTCTGGCCTGTGCCCCCCCATTCATAAATAAATATATCTTTAAAAATAAAATAAGTAAATATAAATAAAATTGGTTTAACTGAGAAAAGGACAGGTTCCCCAATTGAAAAGATAAAGCAGGGAGAGAAGGATCCTAACTATATGTCTATACGTGTACTCAGAATTTCCTGTTGTGAAAAAATAAGCTATTTCATGGAGACCTATGAATGCAATGACCCAGAAAAAAGAATCCAGTTTCTAATTTTGTTCTAATAATAAATATTTCCCTTTCAGTTTCCACTCTCTGCCACAGCTCCCATGGTGTGGCTCCCATACTCATCAATCGATCAACTTCTCCACGCTCTGGGTGAGAACAGTGCCAACAGTCACAACATCGCAGTAAGTGTATCCTGTCATGCCGCATCTCTTACAGCTTGCTCTTCAGTTCTCAAGCACGAAAGGGAGGGCAGAAGCCACTTATTGCTCTGAAGGTGCTGCCCTAATTCCTTTATAAATAAGGCAAAGGAGCTAAGCAACTTTCTATTCAAAAACCTTAGTAAAAAACTGTCGAGGCATTCATTATAAAGAAAAAATAACATGCAGTCTACTCTTTAAATGAGTTTACAGTTTAGTAGAGCAGATCCTGCAGGGTAAACTATTGATAGAAATAAAATAAATTGGGGCCTCCCTGATGGCACAAGGGGTTAAGAACAACCTATGAAGCTATCAGCAGCCACTGCAGCACGAGTTTGAGCCCCAGCCAGGGAGGAGACCCACATGGCACAGCAGACCTCTCCTGACTCGCCCCACTGCTCCCCTCAGCAGTGTACTTCAGTCAATCTGCCTGTTTCGTTCCCCACTCTGTCTCTGGTGAATCCTCTCACCCTCCACACCTCTGGCCTATACCCCAGTTCTTGTATGCATAAATAAATAAAAATAAATCTTAAAAAAAAAGAAATATAATAAATTATCTCTACCCGATGTCAACTCAGCATAAACAGCCACCTTGACCAGGACTTTTAAAATGATGTTTCTTGTACTCAAAACATTGTAGTTATGGCTTACTTATTCAGTTAGATCTAAGTAGTATCCTAAGTCTATTAGTAGAATTCACAGAATATGGTTTTTTTTTTTTTTTTTTTTTATAGAGGCATGTTTTCTTTCTTTCTTTATTTGTTTGTTTGTTTGTTTATACATGCACTGGGTACAGTCAGAAGCGCGGGAGGGTGAGAGAATTCACCAGAGCCAGAGCGGGGAGCAGAGCAGGCAGAAGGACCGAAGTACACTGCTGAGGGGAGCAGCGGGCGGCAGGAGAGGTCTGCGCGCCATGCGGGACCCTCCTCCGGTGGCCGGGAAGCAGCCGGGGATCGAACCGGCGTCGCAGAGGCCGCGGGCAGCTTCGCAACCCAGCGCTCAACCGCTGCACTACCGGGGAGGCCCCACAGAATATGGTTTTAAACTAATCAGTGATTCAAAGTATAAACTCATGGTCCTTTTGTGTGCTTGTCTTTTTTTTTTTTTTTTTTTTTTTTAAGATTTATTTATTTATGCATACAAGAGCTGGGGTACAGGCCAGAGGCGTGGGGGGGTGGTGTGAGGATTCACCAAAGACAGAGTGGGGAACAGAACAGACAGACTGAAATACACTGCTGAGGGGAGCGGTGGGTGAGACAGGAGAGGTGTGCTTCGCAGTGTGGATTGCTTCCTGGCCGGCCAGGGATTGAACTCGTGCTGCAGAGGCTGTGGATTGCTTCATAGTGCGGTGCTTAACCCCTTGCACCACCAGGGAGGCCCCCTGTGTGCTTGTCTTTTTAACCTGCTTTTCAAATGCTAGGCAATAGGAAGAGAGGAAGACAGCTGTGTCCCTACCAGTTACCTCTGTCGACAAATCAGATGTTAACATAATTACAATTAGATTGTCTGAAATATTAATCCTGTGTTTGTTTCACTTGGCAGCTAATTACTAGTTTAATCACATATAGCCTCTCTGGTTGTAAGAGCAAGTATTGCTTTGATTAAAAATACTAGTATGGTTTGTATATTTAGAAACTTCATTAGGAAAGCAGAATTAGTGTGAGAGAAAGCAGAATTTATGTGAGAGAAGTCTAGTTTCATCAGTAAAGTCACAGTGCAGACTCCTGTACTGAACGGTGATTAAATTCAGCAGAATAGTTAATACTTTAATAGGAATCTGGTTGGTGAAATCAAAGTGATTAAGAACTTCTTTTTTAGTCCTTGAGCTATTCTGTAATGATTCCCTTTTCCCTTACAGTTGTCCCAGAAAATACTTGACAAATTAGAGGACTACCAGCAAAAAGTTGATAAGGCAACACGGGATTTATTATATCGTCGGAATTTATGATCCAGATGGTTGCCTGGCCTTTGAAAGCACTTGGTGCCTCTTGGGGCTGAAGACTTTCCCCTTCGGGAACCCTGTACTCCGGGCCATTTTTATACCTGTACATGAGGTGGACAACATGGGAGTCTGCGTTCTGCGCCAGAGAGGAGGGCAGATGAGTCACAGGACCTGTGCTTGCTGGCGGTGCTAACACAATTTCTGGTTTTCAACCTTGGTCTCAAACAGCTGCTTTTATATATGACTCACAAGCTTTTTTAGAGTTTATATTTTTTTAAATTACCGAAGACATTCTTTACCTGCGAATTAAAACCCACCTCCACTTTCCAAAATAACTGATGGTTGTTGGTTTGTTGTCACTGACCACCAAAGCAGTCACTGCAAATCTCTTCATTCTTCCCTATCACTTTTTGTATTTCAATGGGATAATTTTGGTCTAGAACTGACATGTATTTTCTGTATTGCAAAAAAAAAAAGCCTAATGATTTTTGCATACTCTTTATTTATTTTGGACTTTTTGTATGATCTTCAATAAAGTATTTAATAATTAGCTGAGAGAAAGCCTAAAATGACCAGCTATGTAAGGGGTTATCTTATTTTGAATCTGGTTCTGAGGCTAACATTGAATAAACTCTTAGCTAAGAAGAAATTAAAATTCATGTCCATAAAAGCAACAGATTTTCAAAGTAAATTCTGTTAACTCCTGTGATTTACAATAATCAAGCTGGACTTGATCATACAGTTAGTCTAATAATGTATTGAACCAAAACACAAACTTTCCCAGTCAGATTCAGAAGTATTTGTGCCCACAAATTTGGGAGAAGTGAAAAATAAGATCTTGGATTTTATTCTGTATATTAAAATTTATCTTTTAAGGAAATTATCTGTTTGATGCTTGTATGCCCTTGGACTTTGAATTTTCCATAATGATGTCTTTAATTTTTACATTCTCAATACCATATTTACTTTATATATTTGAAATAATATGAGTTTTCTGTTGCTACTGTTATGGTGACTGTTTTGCTATATTTATGTTAGTTCTATATATTCATATGAAGTAACTGATGCAATTAGGGACTAGAAAGCCATCCCAAAGCTAAACCCCTGGCTTCCAACTACAGCAAAAAGTGTATTTTGACCTCTGTACACACATGTAACCAAAAGAAAGGTTTCACAAATACCTATCTTCACGTATCCTAATGTGAGGATTATTATTATTATCCACATTATCCAGTGTGGATCAGAACCCACACTGAAAAATATCAACCCTGTTGTAGCCATTTCTGGAGGACAATACCCGAAATTGACCCTATTACAGAAATCTATTATTAGCCTTGCTATCAAAATACTGGTTTCAATAGTAATTTCACAAGACACTGACCAGCTTTTCCTGTCCAATTTTCCTTTCCTTGAACCACTACATTTGTTCTGCGCCTGAACCCATGCTGGAGCCAACTCAGCCCATTTTCTTCTACCTTTGTCACTTTGATTCCCCGCCAGAACAGATGGTGTCTAAATTTTTTTTTTAAGATTTTAGTTATGCATACAAGAGCTGGGGTGCAGGCCAGTGATACAGGGGGTGAGAGGATTCACTAGACTGAGTAGGGAGCAGAACAGGAGGATTGACTGAAATACATTACTGAGGGGAGCAGCATTCGACACAGGAGAGGTCTGCTGCACCATGTGGGTCAGCTCTTGGGCTGGGGATTGAATTCACGCTGCAGTGGCTACAGATAGCTTCATGGTGCTGTGTCTTAATCCCTTGCACCACCAAGGAGGCCCTGGTGCCTCAATTTTTACTTCTTGATAACTTTGAGCCCATATTTCTGTTTTCTGGACTCTGCTATTTTAACAGTTCATAATAGCCTAAAATAATCCTGATGTTAGAAACATACTTTGAGGTGGCAAATTTTGCTTCCTTATGTTAAAGAGTGGCCTCACTGGTGGTGCAGGGGTTAAAATCTCAAGAGGTAGTATGCTCTCACCAACTAGTGCTGCACTGCCCCAAGTTCGATCCTGGGCCAGGGAGGTGACCATGTGGCACAGCAGATCTCTCCTCTTGCCCACTGCTCCCCTCAGCAGTATATTTCAGTAGATTTGCCTGTTGTGGTACCCACTGTGTCTGGTGAATCCTTTCACTCCTCCACAGCTCTGCCCTACACTCCAGTTTATATGCATAAATAAAATTTAAAAAAAAAAAAACAGGCCCAAAATGTAGGCGTTCATAGCAATCCCCACCAAGATTCTATACCTTAACCTAACCACAATTTCAGCTTCTCTCAAAAGTGGAATTTTAAACCAATTATGAGGTAATCTGCCTAAGAGTCTACCCCCTTCCCAAAGAGATGAGGGTTTTGCCTGAAATATTCTTTCTTGTTCCATCCTCTTCTGACTATAGAAATCTTCCCTTTCATACAACTTGCAGTGCCTTTCTGCATACTAAATAGGATGCTACTCTACTCATGAATCATTTAAGAAAGCTAGTATCTCTCAACTTACTCAGATGGTTTATAACAGCCTGAAGTTTACTCAATCCACGTCTATAAGAAGGCAAACATGTTCTATAAAGAGGCAAATAGTTTATAGCTATCAAGCTATAGCCAGCCACTGCAGCGCAAGTTCGATCCCAGGCCAGGTTGCTAACCCACATGGCACAGCAGACCTCTACTGTCTTGCCTGCTGCTCCCCTCAGCAGTGTATTTCAATAGATCTGCCTGTTCTGCTCCCCACTCTGGTGAATCCTCTCACCCCCGCACCCCTGGTTTACACCCCAGTTCTTGTATGCATAAATAAATCTTTAAAAATATATAAATAAAATTCCACTTTGGAGGAGGCTGAAACTGTAGTTAGATTAAGGAATTAAGTCTAGATGGGATTAGCATGAGCAAACCCATTTTGGGAAAAAGATCTATGATTCTTTTTCCCATTTCTACAACCCTTTAAAATGTAAAAACCATTCTTACCTTGGAGTACTTGAGCAGCAATCTGCCCACCCCTGTTCAGGTCCCTACCCACTTCTTTGAGGCCAACAGCAAAATGTCTCTCAAATCAGTGGTTCTCAACCCTGGCTAAATTTTAGAATAACCATTAGAGCTTAAAAAAAAAAAAAAATACCTGGTATCAGCCCTCGACTCCCACCCCCAATCTAACTGGTTCAGATTCTTACATTGCTTTCATGTTCTCTAAGTGGTTCTGTGAACAATTTAGGGTTGAGAACCGTTGTTAAAAACAAGTCACATCCAGAAATAGAAATTTCTCCCAAGAAAAGCAGCTTTTCACATTGCTTTGCATTGTGGTTTGGTTCATTTGCTCAGTTTGGTTCCAGCCGGTTTTAGAACCAGATCTGGACTTGGTGTAAACAAAAGACTCACTAATAGTAATAACTACCATTTAATAATTACTTATTTTGTGACAGGTGCTTTGCAACTAACTTAAAACATCAACCTTACAGATACTGATACATTTTCAGAACAGCAAAGACAAGTTTAGGGATGTTGAGAAACTTGTCTAAGAGACCACTTTTGGAAGGTGCAAAAGTTTTGAATCCAGATACTTGACTTCAGAACTGTGCACAACTATATTTTAAGGCCTCTCCCCTCAAGAAAATGAGTATTTTGTTAAGTCTCAAACAACTTGCTGTTACTTTTTTCACAACACCTGGGAGTCTAATTTCAGAACACTCAAATCCAGGTATTCCTCCCGTAGGCAGGAAAAGGAAAGAAATCTTGCTATTTGATTTCAAATTTGTATAGATCCATCACTATATTCATTCAAAAACATTTACTGTTTTTCATATTCCAGAAAGGGCATTTCATACATAGAGAACAAAACACAAGTCACTTCTCTTGAGGCTTTTAAGTCAACAACCAATTTTAAGTTTCATCCATAAAATGGAGATATTGATATTATAATAGAGGGAAATTTGCAACCCCAATATATCTCCATGCAAGAATACAGCAAGAAGGCAGCCATCTCTTAAGTGTTTGGGGGAGGGAGTGGAGAGGGGGATAAGGGTCCAGGGGAATCACTAAATCTTTTTCTTATAATGGAGAAAAACAATCAGCACAACCATCATACCCTTATTTACTGTGCTTTTCCAGGTATACTCTCCAAACTGATCGTTTTTCCCCTCCCCCAACATCCTTTGTCTTTTAGGTTTTATTTAAAGAAGTGGTTTATGCCGGCTCTGCAAATCATTCCTTTTCCCTGGGTCAGTCCTATATATACAAAACGTATATATGTTGTCAAACTGTTTTCTCCTACTAGTCTTTTATTACAGGGGGCTGTCTCAGACAAGAGCTCAGAAGTGCAAAGGGAAAATTACATTTCCTCCATTACACTACCTAATAAAATTGCGAGCCTCAAATGCAGTGCTACATGTAAAGTGTTTAGACAGTGCTTGATAGATAATAAGTACGCAGATGTTCGATATCACTTAGATGTTTTAATAAGCACTGAGTCAGTCCTCCGGGGTATAAAAACAAAAACACTCGCTTTTTTAGGCTTACTATGTGTGTGACGGTTTGGGGGATCGGGGTGGAGGGAAGAGATGAACAGCAGGATGTCAAGCTCTGGGGAAAAGACTCGGCCTTGAGACAACAGGTTCAAAAAAGTAAGGCTTGCGCTGCGTCTTGAGGAATGAAAATAATTTTATCGTGCGATGCAGTAGTTACTCCAGCTAGTGTGAAGGCCTGAAAGTGAATCCTTCAAGTGGCTTCGGAGAGGGGGAGAACGAGAGATCGGGGGTGTAGGGGCGGATGCTGAAGGAAGATAAATCTAGGCAGTTTGAAGCTAACAGTGGGCCCGACTGGGAGGGTTCCTCTAATCTATCGCAACGATTTAGGCTTTTTCCTAGTGGCCGGTAGAACGCCCAGTGATCTTTCCCAGCTGATGAGCAACACGAGCTATCTTTGTGTTCGAACAAAAAAATTTACAAACGCGTGAAAGACCCATTACTCTCTTCAAAGCCCAATGCTAACTTCAAAGTAAGCCGCAACGCTCAGGGCGAGACTTTGGGAAGAGCTCGGAAAGCGGCACAACTCGCCACAGGACAAACGACAACGAACAGCCACAAAATGGAGGACAAGTGGGGGGGGTAAAGAAAAGACTCCACGAAAAACGCATGGGTGGAACCCCACGTAATGGCGAAATCATTCTACCTTCAAGTCCTTCCGTAATATTGGCTCGCGGCTCACATTTTTTTCATTTTCCATTGGCTACCGCCTCCTTCAATCGGTCAAATTAACCAATCGCCCAGCGTCCAGGGTGAAGCCCGCCCTTCCGCCTGGGGAGAAGGACGCAGAAGAGCGTAACGGCCCCACGGCGCCTGCGCGGGCGCGCGCTCTCGGCCAGTTAAAAGCAGCTCTTCGCGGGAGGCGTGACCGCGGCGTCGGCGGCGTCTGCATATTGATGACGCAGCGCCGCGCGTAGCGCCCGCCCTTCTCGGCTGCCCGCCTCCCGCGACTCGAGCTCGGGCTCGCGATGGGGAAGAAGTCCCGAGCGGTACCCGGCCGCAGGCCTATCTTGCAGCTTTCTCCGCCCGGTCCCCGGAGCAGCACTCCGGGCCGGGACCCGGAGCCGGAACCCGACACCGAACCGGACTCGACGGCGGCGGCGCCCAGCCAGCCAGCCCCGGCGGCACCGGCGGCGGCGACGACGACAGCGACGACGACGACGACGACGGGCCCCGCGGTCACTGCCGCGGCGGCCCCCGACGACTCGCCTTCCGAAGAAGGTGAGGGCGCGCGGGGAGGCCCGGCTCCTAAGCGGCACATCCGAAACTCGAGCGTGGGGGTGCGGCCTAGGCCTGGCGCTCCGGAACCCGGAGGGCGGCGGCCGTCTCCGAGAGCCTTCGGCGTGGGGCCTGCGGGAGGACGGCTGCGGCCCGAGGCGGCAGGGCGCGGCCCAGGGGCGCCATGGCTGGGGCAGGGGGTGCCCCGGGCGCCTCGTCTTCTCCTCCTCCAACGTCCTCCCTTGCTTTGGCACAACTTGGGAGGTGGATGTGAGAG